GTGCTTTAGAATGTTCTGAACTGATTTGCATTAGTGGGGAGGTGCTTCTTAATGGAGGGCAATGACAGCTTACTTCCTGTACTTTCTTGAGAGCACAGGTTTGCTTTAGCTGTGTTACAGTCTGATAGTATGCAGAACTTAACTGATCTCAACACTTCTGGGTCTATTCATGGAGCGTCAAAATAGTTTTGTTCGATCTCTTTTTAAGAAAGTGTTCAAGGGCCATATTTAGCATTTTCGAGTCATTGGTTTTTAGAGGTGTTTTTGAAATCTCTCCATATCCCTAAAAGCATGGCACTGCAATCTGAGAAGAATGATTTGCGGGATTGGTATGGCACTAGGAAAGTGATACATCATTACTTTTACAAGCCTCTCCTTCTTCCTTGGTACAAATTGGCTATTTTTATTCTTATTCCCAATTACTGCAAACAATTCTGTACTTTTGTTCTCATCTTTCAAAGTCCACTTCCCCTGGTTTTCTTATTTTGTCAGCCGATTGATTGATGGCTGCTTTATAAATATCTGAGGGAAATGGTGAATTCAGTCATAAAGACATCAAACGATGAAGTTGTACGGTTCACCACGTCTTTGTAAATCCAAAAACAATCTTATCCGATCCCACCAGACAGGAATAGTTCTGCCATCTTCTTCCCCGGCCAGGTAACAGTGGCATGCTAATATTAAACCAATAACAATAAAAAATGAAACCACTAGAAAACACAACTAATAATTTCAGTCCAGGGAAACAGACAGTGGTCTCCACCTATCGGTAGTGACGAGTTGGTTGATCCCTGAGCAGAACCTGTCAGAGCTTGCGAGTTCAGTCTTTGGCTGAAAGTTCAGTGAACATCAGATCAATAATAATACAAATAAATAGAGGCCAAGGTGGAAGTGGGAGCTCATTCATCCGGTTCCCTGAGGTAGCCTCTGGTGGTAAAGTCAGAGCTACCGGCTCAGTCTTGTGCAAGAAGGCATCTGTCCATTTGTCTTCTATCGTCAGATCTTCAGCCAGCTTCTCCCTCTGGCCCCTATAGGTTTGAATATATAGGCACGTGTGCAGGCAGTGGCTGGCCGCTCAGCTTTCCTTGGCTCACTCTAAAGCTTTGTCTTCTTCCTCTCTCTCGTGGTGACTACGTTTGAAGAATCCAAGCTGTATACCAGAAATAGACAAGACATTTCTATATAAAATCAGGATGAAATTCAACATATAAATAGAACGAGTTGCTGAAATTTAAACAATTAGGGGTCTATATATAAAAAATGGTTATAGCCTATTCATTCAGCAAAACTGCATTCTTTTTCTATGATCCTCATCAACATCTAGTGGACATAGTGTGGCATTTTCCCCATTTAAGAACATTCAACCAGAAGAGAAATGACAGAACATTCATTCTGTGTGAGTTCACCAGTTGTTGTGAGAATGGGGAAAAAACAAATGTTCTTAGTGTAATTTCTCTTCTGGTTGAATGTTCTTCAATAGGTTTATTCATAGAGAACAGCTCCAACTAGTGGCCATAATGTGGAATTTCCCTGATTGACTCTGTTCTTTATGAATTAACCTATTGAGGAGCATTTGACCAGAAGAGAAACATCACTAAGAATCTTGGTTTTTCCCCATACTCACAACAACTGGTTAACTCACACAGAACGAATGTTCTGTCATTTCTCTTCTGGTTGAATGTTCTTAAATGGGGAAAATGCCACACTATGTCCACTAGATGTTGATGAGGATCATAGGAAATGAATACATGTTAGTAAGGTGTTACAATGTTGCAGACTGCTGGAGGGAATAAGTATATAAATGTAACCATTAACACTACAGGGATAGCATCGGCTACATTGAAATGCCCATTCTCTGCAGCATTCTCTTTATTTGTATCTTGTTACTAACATATATTAATTTCCTATGTTCATCAGCTTCATCTAGTGGACATATTGTGATATTTACCCATTAAAGAACATTTTACCAGAAGGGAGATTACACTATGAACATTTGTTTTTGCCAGATTCTCACAATAGCTGGTGAATTCACACAGGATGAATGTACGTGCAGTTTTGCTGCGTAAGCTATGCAATTTCAATTATAAAAAAAAACCCTAGGTGTTGTTTAGATCCGGGTTCTTCTTTTATTAGATATACCTTTTATTCTAACGTAATATTGTATTCCATTACTAATTTTTGGTGCCTTAGAGAGCTGCCTCTGCCGTATGGCCTAGAGGTCCTGACACTGTTAGGGCACCTTTATAAGGATAATGGAACAAATACTACAATGCAAAGAATATTTTCGCACATACTTAGTGTATAAAATACATAGGCAGCCAAATGATCTTAAATGGTCGTCAACACTAGTGTACTTTTATCAAAACTAATGCAAAGACAACTGTATAATGTATACAATCGAAATGTTCTTTACCTTCCAAAGAGCCAGCACTAGAAGAGCCAATAGCAGCAGACCACCTAATGTACTGCTGATTATAATCCATATAGGAACTTCCCATTCTTCCTGCTTGGAAATTTCCAGTACAATCTATAGCATAAACAAGATTGAAACATTTATTTGTGGATACCACTACTTAATATAACAAAGAATGTTCAGCAATATATACAGGGGAAACTCGAATAATTAGAATATCGTGCAAAGTTCATTTATTTCACTAATGCAACTTAAAAGGTGAAACTAATATATGAGATAGACTCATTACATGCAAAGCAAGAGAGTTCAAGCCGGGATTTGTCATAATTGTGATGATTATGGCTTACAGCTCATGAAAACCCCAAGAACCCCAAATCCACAACCTCAAAAAAGTAGATTATTACAAGCAATCAATAAAACAAGGATTGTACATAGAACAATATCGGACCTCTGTAAAGTACAAGCATGCATATGTACTCAGTACTTGGTTTGGGCCCCTTTTGCAGCACTCACTGCAATTACTTTTGCACAATATTCTAATTATTCGAGTTTCACCTGTAGATGTTCAGTTTAAAAACTACATTACTGACAATGTTTAGCCAGTAGGTGTCAGCAGAGTTCTGTGTTAGTAAATATCACATCTCGTCTACATGCGCCAGCAATAAAAGTCTAGTTACAAATAAATGACTAAGTTGTATAACATTTTTATGCATGCTTTGTACCCTTCTCAGTCTACTTAACAGAGGCACAGTTTTATTTTTATGTTGTCTGCTCTAGAACAATGAAAGGGAGAAGCTCATGTGTTGCTATTTTGCAATACAGACAATACTTATTTCACAGATTTTCAATCATGAAGCTGTTAGCAGCACGTTAAAAAAAAGCATGCTATGCCATCTGTGACTGACCATGGATGGAAAACAGAAGAAGCTAAAGGTACTTATGGACAGATTGGAAAAATAATCCCATAATCCTCGGCAACTGGACAGTTTTTTAAGACACTAAGGGGTTAAATTATAAAAGATCTGCCAGGCTGATTCTGTTCGCATGGCACCAGCGCCCTTAGATGGCCCCGATGAGCATAGGATTTCCTATACTTGTCAGCATCATCTAAGGGCGCTGGTACCTGGAAGACATATGCAGATAAGGATGTGTGACTTTTGTTCTAACTGTCCTGGTTTGGATGTTTGTTCTCCGGTCTATGAATCAGATTTGTATTGATGCTACTAGTGTGTCAGATTAGTAGCCTTGAAGTCTGGCAGCATGCTCTACCAGTATATACTTGAATAAGGCCTATATTAAAAGGTTAAATATTTTGATAGGGATACCTACTGATTTACATATTTCTAAGAATAGATAATGAGTGTGATCTCTTATAAATGTCAGTTTTTAGCCAGTAGCACCAATAATATAACAATAAATGTCCTTTTGGAACACAACTTAAAATTCTTCTGCAAATTCTAACTGAATATACCCAACAAAACTGATGCGATATGCAAATGAATGGTATTTAATGCATTAATAGGATCACCTGACGGCTGGGCGCTTCCTCTCGGAATATAAAAGGACTCTGAAATTTCTGTTGTAATATAGCAATAGTCACCAGATTCACAGAGCGGAATTTAATCTGCAAGGAAAAAGGAAAAGGATATGTGATGAAACAATGAGTCTGGCTTAATTAATGCCAGACGCCTACAAACTGAGAGAATATGGCGTTAATCAAAAGGTAATAGGATGTAGATATGGGGGAATAGAATGGGATGCATTTATCAAAACTGGAGCAGACAAAATCTGGAGCAGTTGTGCATGGCAACCAATCAGCTTCTTTTTCAGTTTGTTCAGTTAAGATTTAAAAATGAGAGAGAGAAGCTGATTGGTTGTCATGCACAACTGCTCCAGGTTTTGTTTGCTCCAGTTTTGATGAATTCCCTTCAATGTGTTTTCATTTTTCAGGGTTGAAGGACAGTAGGGCAGGAGCAGGGTGATAGGTGGTGGACGGCCAAGACAGACTTACAGGGTGAAGAGTTTGGAGAAGGCAGGAGAAGTGTACAATCTAGGACAACATAGCTGATTGGGAAAAATTCTCCAATTCAGCTCACTTTCCAAATCAGCTATGTTGTCCTAGATTGTTCTCTTCTCCTGCCTTCTCCAAATTCTTCACCTTTTTGTGAATAGCCCTGATATTAATTTCATCTCAGACTATACAATTTAATCAATCTGACTATAGAACTAGACTGTTAGCTCTTGTAAGTAAAACAGCAAAGCATTCTGTAAAAACAGGCCTCACGTTCCTAAAAGTACACTGACTTTGGTTAAAATATTTCATTCTAAGTCCTAAAACAGAAACAGGCTGATATTATTTCACCAGGAAAGTGCAGTGTTTATTTTATTAAGAAATCGCCGTGTGAATCAATTAGAACATTCGTTCTGTGCCAATAGAGGCATAAATGATTGTTCTTTGTATATTTTCTTTTCAGGTTGAATGTAATGTCACACCACATTGTGGCCACTAGATAGAGCTGAGTATCATACGGAATAATTATGTATTTCTTATGGTCCTCAGCACCATCTAGTGGCCATAATGTGGTGTTACATTACATCATATTGGACCTGAAAAGAAAATATACAAAGAACATAAGTTTCTGCCTCTATTCACACAGAACAAACCTTCTCATAGATTTGCAGGGTGAATAGCTGTGTGAATTGTTTATAAATAGACCCTTTAACTTTGGAAACTAATTGTCAGCTGCTGGGACTTAAAAATACTAAGTATTTGTGCAGGTGGCCATACACTGTGCAAATTTCACTCAGTGGGTGCCGCTGTTAGCACCCTTTGGCCTGGCATCCCTCAACCAGCTGTACAAAGGAGATGGTCAGAAAATCTTCGAACAAACAATAAGCTACTAGCTTTGTTCGGGTATACTGACAGAGGCCGGCGGCTGCTGTCAGAATACAATGAAGACAGCGGGAGATTCCTCGATCGATGCTCCTAAGCGTTGGAGGAATCTGTAATATTTTCTTTGTTCAGCCCACAGGTTGAACGTACACAATATTACAGTGTATGGCCAGGTTAAGACATACTACTACTCTCTCCAGCACTTAAAATAGTAGCCTGCACCTGAGTGCTGGGTTTTTATATGGGGATAGTGGCCATGCACTCCACCAAGGTTGTTGTAGGATGTGAGAAAGCTATCTCCTGAGTCAGAGGGGATCATGGGAAGCCTGCCAATGTGACAACAAATGCACACATGCTGTAACAATGGCAAGAGTCTTGTAGAAAACTCATTATTGGCGAATCTTGGTGTGGAATAACCCATCCACATTCAATGTGATTTCTGTCTATTTCCCATCTGAACAAATGTATTTTTTGTTTTTAAGGCGGGATGTAACAAATTGTTACTAATAAATAAGATTCACGTGGTCCCCCATAACAGAGTTGACTCTTGTGGTAAAAGGTAAGTATGCAATCATGCTCATAGGTCACATTAAATGTTTTGGTTCTCCATGATGAATGACCACACTGTCTTCTTACATCTGCTGTTCCTTACCACTTGGAATGTTTTAGTCCACAATCTCCCATGCAGGGTAAGTGTTGATTCCTGATTGGACGCCAGGCTCATAGTGCAATCAATGGACACAACGTCTGAGTTGCTGTGATTCTGAAATAAATAATGCATTAATGTGTCATTTTAGGACCTGGAAATACTAAGGCAGAAGAACTCTATGATTTTGAAATCTGAACCCACAATGTTAAAAATTTACACCAACATATTGGAATGCCACCTATGTTTAAAGACTGGCTGAGGATCTAGTCTCATGTTCAACGAGTTGCTATCTAATAGCCTAGACTAGCTGTACTTGTACTGAAGCTTATGTGAGTTAGCTGCTATCGTATGTTGACAGGGAATGATTACTGTGGGGGCTGTGATGTTGGAAGACCAACCAATTAATTACTGGTATGGATCCCAGCCAGTAAGGAGGGTAGGGGGAGCAGTTTATGTTACTGTTAAAGCTGAACTCCGGGATAAGCAAATATTGTCCAAATACAAGAGTCATGTGTATTCTTATTCAGGGCCGGATTTACTCTCCCTGCGGCATCACCGAGTTCACATGTAAACGAAAAATCGGCTGCCTCACTCTACATTTACTCCTGCTTGTACAAAGCAGGGCTGAATGTAGAGAGGGCAACTTCCCCACAAGGACACCGCTGCCGCCCCAGTGCGCCCTGCCGCCCCGAGGCCGGGCCTCGGTGGCCTTATGGGGAATCCGGGCCTGTTCTTATTTGAATCTTGGTGAGCTTTGTGTATTTCTTCCAGATCCGTGCAGTAATCCAATGTGACACTTTACCTCTGTGCAGGAGCTTCCTATAATAAAGACTGCTTACTGCTGCTCTCTCTCTTTGTGCAGGGTGACTTGTCTCCGCCTCCTCCTATAGCTTTCTGCAGGCAGCCTGTACTGGGTGGAGCTTTCTTAGTCCCTCCCACACCTCTGCTCTCTGCATAAGTTATGTGCACGCAATGATGATGTCACTGCATTCGTTATATAATAACATCCATGACAGTAAGTGGACGTATATCCTCTGTAGCTACTGAAGAATATATTTGAATGAAAGTTTTTGTACCCGGAGTTCAACTTTAAAGATCCACAATCCATAAGGAAAGGAAAACATGAATAGATTGTAATAATTTTAGTTCCATGTTCCCAACCCTTCCCAACAGAGGTCAATATGCATTACCAGCTGTGCTATGTGACTGATGTCCTCTTCTGATGGCCTCCTGCGGTAATCTGTGCTATTTCCCCAAATATTACAGGTTTCATTTCCCTGTAACACAAAAATGTCATTAGCATAAAAGGAGCCACTAACAGTATGTTCTTTCTATCATACAGTTGTGTGATTGGTCACCTGGTCATTGGTTAGCTGTTGTAATAGGAGCAGACGATTACCACCACGAGTTGCCACAGGAATAGTGATCTTAATTGTGACCTCCTCAGGAAAGAAGCCCAGATTTTGTATCTGTAAAAAACACATATAAATTCACTGTAGACCCAGTGAGCATGTCCGTGATGTGTGTAAGACAGCTACATAGAGTCAGTATTATCTCCTGTACTAAGTAGCATGTCGAGCTCTGAAAGAGGCACTCGTATATAAATTCAAGAACAATGTGTGCATGTGGGGGGTGAAGGGGGGTGCTGCTACTTTTACTTGTTACCACTCTTACTGATATACCTAAAGCAGAACATTTATAGTAGATATCATGTCTAATTGCAGTGTTTTTACAGATCACCATACACAATCAGTGAGCTACCCATGCTATCCAGCAAACACTGCAGATATGCTTCAATTAGAACTTTTACTCCATTTACCAATGTATATTTCTTAATGTAGATCTTCTCTTTGGAAATACATTTAACAGAGCAGATGCCAGGAAACAAGCCAATGTGCTCGCTCCTGGACTGTGCTGTGCATATCTGTTTGGAGTAGTAGGCATTTAATACACGGAGAACCCGTGATGTCAGATCCCCGCCTGCCGCTTTGACACAGGAAGGGAAAGCTGATTTTGGACTGCACTTGACAGTCTGGGTTGAATGAACAGGCCACCATTCAGCCCAAAAGAGGACCAGCTCTGGACGTCTCGAATGGTGAGTCTTTTGGGAGCAGTGCTGGATTGGAGGTCAGTATTTCTCTTTTTATTTTAGGTGCTAGTCAAAATATTGTTTGTTATTATTTATTACTAGAGTTCTAATACTTTAGGGTTTGTTTACTTGTTACCAATCTTAGTCAACAGGAAGGGAAAGCTGATTTTGGACTGCACTTGACAGTTTGGGTTGAATGAACTGGCTGGCATTCAGCTCAGAAGAGGACCAGCTCTGGACATCTCGAGTGGTGAGTCTTTGGGGGCCTGTGCTGGATTGGAGGTGAGTATTGTTTTTTTGTAATTATTTTAGGTGCTAATCAAAATTATTTTTATTATTATTTAATACTAGAGTTCTAATACTAGAGGGTCCATTTACGTGTTACAAATCTTACTCAATATACATAAAGCAGAACATTCATAGTAGATATCATGTCTAATTGTAGTGTATTTACAGCTCACATACACAGACTTTCGCAAGTAATACCAATCAATGAGCTACTATTGCTAACCAGCAATCATAACATCTATGCTAATGTCAAAAAGTGAATTCAATTTGCCTTGATCTGCGTTTTCAGTAATAAATTGCAGCAAGATTTCTCAAAGCACTCCTCAGGGTCACCGGGGTTATACTCTCTGACATCTATGTCTAATGTCCTCTACCTTACTGTTTTTTGTATCACCAATTACATTCCAATTTGGGTTTAGGGAACTTCTCAGGACTGATAATTTTAACAAGGCTTGTTGTGCTTGAATGAATTCCTCTCCTCTATCATAATCAGGGGTTCTCAGATCACCAGGCTACTGGCAAAATGGAGTATGGTGGAGAGGTGCACAGCAGCAATGTCTGGATAAATAACTGGAACACTGAGGAAGTATGCTGCACTCCCCGTAGGCATCTCAAAGTAAAATTTTTGATTTTGACTGCAATGTAGCTTTCATGGGAGAGACATGTAGGGCCAGATAGGGTGAATTATTCAGTGAAAGTTTATTTGCACAAGTCAGTCACTTACCTTAAAAGAGCAGTTGAATGGCGGCCCAATAGCATTGTATCTGTCAGCTGACCCTTGAGCTGTGATCTCATACTGGTCCAGACTGGAGTGCCTGGGGTAGAAGAATAGTGGTGTTAGGAGGTGATCAGGTCCGATAATTGCACTGCTTAATGAATGCTGCTATCTGAGAGGATATACTGACTCTTCCTGGCTGGTAGACCTGCTAAGAAGTAGAAGGGATATATTGAGAGATGGAACATTAATATGTTCCAACTCCATCTTGAGTCTCAAATATTTCCTTGATGACAAACATGTGTCACAGACCATGGATCGAGTCCCACACATTAAGATTTGACAAATAAGATTCCACTCATGACTAGAAGCTCTTTCACATATCCGGCCTGAAATGTGTGCAGGTAATAAATGTGGATTTTAATATGACCCGTGTCACATACCCAGCCAGGCACCTCACAGTGAATGCTCCCTCTGGCTCTTGATTAAAGCACATACTGTTCATTTCTGCACTTTGTGCATTCCCAGTCTCTGGCTCTACTTGGGGTTCACCCAAAGTTTCTGAATTTTTGCTTCTTTGCATAACAGCTGGAACTAAAACAAACTGGAAATAACTATATAATGATTACACTTGCCTAATGCAAAGGGGCTGATTTACATATACTGGGCTGCTGGCCATAGCAGCCAATTGACTTCTGTGCTTAATTAGAAATATGATAAATGTTTAGTGATTGCTCCACCGTTTCTCCTGTTTTCCTTGCTTTATATTTTGTTAATCAGCACAGACAACCTGAACTTTTCTCACAAGGAAGTGGCTACTTTAAATGAGCATGGCAAGTCTAGAACCATTCTATAAACTGCATAAGTAATGGAAGCTGGGATATTAACTATGCGGGGGTGTCAGTTCTCTCTATACATATAATATAAGCATCATACGTCTATAGAATGTTGGAGTATTGGCTATATGGTATCAGCTCTCTCTATACATACAATAAGAGTCATACTTCTATAGACTGCTGGAGTATTGGCTATGTGGCATCAGCTCTCTCTATAGACACAATATAAGAATCAAACTTCTATAGAATGTTGGAGTATTGGCTATATGGTATCATCTATCTCTATACATACAATAAAAGAGTCATACTTCTATAGACTGCTGGAGTATTGGCTATGTGGCATCAGCTCTCTCTATAGACACAATATAAGAATCAAACTTCTATAGAATGTTGGAGTATTGGCTATATGGTATCATCTATCTCTATGCAAACAATAAAAGAGTCATACTTCTGTAGACTGTTGGAGTATTGGCTATGTGGCATCAGCTCTCTCTATAGACACAATATAAGAATCATACTTCTGTAGACTGCTGGAGTATTGGCTATGTGGTATCAGCTATCTCTATAGACACAATATAAGAATCATACTTCTGTAGACTGCTGGAGTATTGGCAATGTGGCATCAGCTCTCTCTATAGACACAATATAAGAATCATACTTCTGTAGACTGCTGGAGTATTGGCTATGTGGTATCAGCTCTCTCTATAGACACAATATAAGAATCATACTTCTGTAGACTGCTGGAGTATTGGCTATGTGGCATCAGCTCTCTCTATAGACACAATATAAGAATCATACTTCTATAGACTGCTGGAGTATTGGCTATGTGGCATCAGCTATCTCTATAGACACAATATAAGAATCATACTTCTATAGACTGCTGGAGTATTGGCTATGTGGTATCAGCTCTCTCTATAGACACAATATAAGAATCATACTTCTGTAGACTGCTGGAGTATTGGCTATGTGGTATCAGCTCTCTCTATATATACAATATAAGCATCATACTTCTATAGATTGCTGGATTATTGGTTATATGGTATCATCTGTCTATGTATGTACATACAACATTAGAATCATGCTTCTGTAGACTGCTGGAGTATTGGCTATATGGCATTAGCTCTCTCTATACATACAATATAAGAAACATACTTCTATAGACTGCTGGAGTATTACCTATATGGTATCAGCTCTCTCTATACAGACAATATAGGAATCATACTTCTATAGACTGCTGGAGTATTGGTTATATGGTATCATCTATCTCTATACATACAATGTTAGAATCACACTTCTATAGACTGCTGAAGTATTGGTTATATGGTATCATCTATCTCTATACATATAACATTAGAGTCATACTTTTATACACGGTTGGAGTACTGGCTAAATAGTATCAGCTTTCTCTTTACAGACAGTATATAAAACTCAAACTCATACTCAATAAAAATGTCCTAAAGTATAAAAGTATTTAAAAGAAGAGAAGAACAATATGAACAGTTACTATGAGCAGTACAGACAGTTCTTTCAGACATTTTTTATATGGAACCCTTGTTAAAATGTGTTAGATCAGAGACAACAGGCTAGAAATCAACATGGAATGAGATAGAAGTAAGAGCGGCTATGTACCTGGTGAACAGGAGATCCGACTCATACTTGAGGTTGAAGTTCAGCAGAACCTCATTATCAGTGATTGTACTCTCCAGTTCTTCACTGTCACTGTAAAGACACATGCAATGATAAGAAATTATTACTTATAGATTTTTGTGTAACCCTCTACCCCACGTGTGTCAAACTCAAGGCCCAGGAGCCAAATCCGGCCCACCAGGCCATTTCCTAGACTTTCAGATCTAGGTATTAAGTTATTACTAAAACCAGTGATAATCGAATGCAGAGGCAATTATGATAAAGATTAGATACATTTATATAGTCTTACAGATACCTGTGAGGGCAACCATAATGTTGATGCGGCCCTCGAATAAATTGAGTTTGACACCCTACCCGATTTAAAGGCAACCTTTCCTGAGAGAAACATGGAAGCTGCATTGCCAGTACTACTTCCCTGACTAAATGGACTTCAGCTACAGTCATTACCTCAAGATAAGTTCTTCTGACTTTTCTCTGTCCTAATTGGCTTACTTGCTTCATGTCAATGAGTTACCAAGTACTGAAGCCAGCTGTTCAGCATAATAGCAGGAAAACTAATATTTTCAGGAAGCGGTCAGCAATGGCAAACCACATTTACAACAGCGCTAGAGTGGGAACAGACACATTTTTTTATGCGGAAGTTGGACAAGTGTTTTAGTGTGAGCATTCAAACACAACAGTGTACCTTAATCTTTCTAGCATAGGTTAGAAGATTAAAGTGAATTGTAACTGGCTGCTACCTCATCATTCCTTTCCTACTTTGATAAATATATTTTTTTTAAAGAAAAATCTTGTTTCATAAACAATTTCTTAATGAACTGATAACTGTCTGTAATAAGAATCGGGTAATTTGTCATTAATGCCAACGCTTCGGGGCCATGCAGGGCCCTGAAGAAGGGACCCCTTCATTGCCCCGAAATGTTGGTGTTTTTTGACAAATTTTAACAATGATACAGTAAACTGAACCAGGATTTATAACCTCATGTGTGCTGATAATTACCTGATTCTTATCACACGGTAGCATCCACGTCATCACTACGAGCACCACTGTCCTTCAAGGTCATAGCATTATATGGAGTGTAGGTGATGCACAACGCTATTGTATAATTACTGTCTGTGACTACCCTCCTCACACCTTCCTACATATGTAGATACCGGGGAAGGAGTGAAGGGGAATACAATAGAGTGTTATTTAAGTGGCAGCTCTGAGTCCGTTGGAGCTTCTCACATCACATCTAAAATGGTGGCGTCCAGCAACAATCTCAAGGCTTTTTGATGTCTACGTAAGGAAGGCTTTACAGGAAAGTAACATGCATTAAATATGTTAAACGCACATATACTCTAAGAAGAAGATTGTTGTTGGAATGAATGCTCTGACTGCAGATTGCCTTATAAAGTTTGCCCATCCTCAGGCAAACAGAGGTCTCGGTTTGCCTGAGGACGGGGCTGCATGGTCTTGAAACTTCGCTAAGGAGATGTGTGTTATCTCAGTCAATAAACAGCATTGACTTTAATATCATGGAGTTTCGAATGACTACTTTCATCTATCTACATTTCACGGAGGCATCCGTTGTCAACACCGCACCCACCCAGTTGGATTTGGGTTTTTGTCTGGACAGGAGTGCGATGGGACAGGAGGATTAAAGGGGAACTATGGGGTTAAGGCTTTTCCCCATAGTTCTCTGTAGGGTAACGGGAGGACACAAACTAGCGTCCTCCCGTCACCCCAGGCTCAGTATACCATGAGCTGTAGCTCGCGGTATACTGAGACGCCGCAGCTGAAGCGGATCCCGACAATTGTGCCGGGATCCGCCCAGCTGCGTGACTGACAGCTGGCTCGGCCTATCTAGAGGCAGAGCCAGCGCTGGCAGATCGGAGCGGGGAGGCGGGAATCCAGCCCCTCCCCTGTCACGGCAGAGAGCTGTGACAGGATCGAGAGGTGAGCGAACGCTGGTATGTGTTCGCTCACCTCCCGATCTACTGAGCCGACCTGTGACAGTCTCATTGTCACAGGTCGGCTAGAACTATGAGGTGAGTGAAAAGCACTCACCTCATAGTTCTCCTTTAAGTTTGTAGAGTAGAGGGACACAGGGATTGGAGACCAATAAAGGGAATGTACCTTCAAAGCAGAGATGTCTGAAACGTGACACTATGGCTTAGCAAAGTTGGGTCTCTTACATGTGGGATGGTTAGAAGTACTGTCTCGCTTTCTTTTAGTCCCTGCTCAGCATTGGTTATATGCATCTCACCAAGAAGAAAGGAGAAAGAACATACATACCTGCTGGCTACTAGATGGATTTGCAGAGATGGAAGAAACACAGATTTACTGAATTCGAAATCTAGCCGAAATGCTACCTGTGAGACAGAGATACATAAACTGTGAGACAGATATACATAAACTATGAGCAACAACACCTTCTGCAGATTCGTATCACATCATCAATGCACCTTCTCTGCTATAAGATTCATATGGACAGCTCTGTGTTTTATGACTTGTATGCTATGCAGCTCTGTGCAAACAATTCATATGCAGGGCAAACGGTTTTCTCTCTAACGTCTTCAATGTTTAAGATGCAGTTTGCAGGTGTACACTTTACTAGTTAACACTGAAATCATTCTGCCCGCAAAAACAAAAATAGGTTTGTGAGTAGCCTTAAAAGAGAACTATGGGGTAAGTGTTTTCCCCCATAGTTCTCTTAAGGGACACGGGAGGAAATATACTAACCTCCTCCTGTGACCCAAAGCTCAGTATATAGTGAGCTACAGCTCGCGGTATACTGACACCGCCGCAGCCAGGACGGATCCTGACAATGCTGTCTGGATCCACCAAGCTGCGTGAGTGACAGCTGGCTCTGCCTATCTAGAGGCAGAGCCAGCTGTACCCGCCCCCTCCCTCGTCCGTTCCTCCAGTCAGCGCTGGAGGATCGGAGCAAGGAGGAGGGGAATCCCTGCTGGGAGTGATGACTGACAGTCACGGCTCTCTGCAGGGAGATGATCGAGAAGTGAGCGAGCGACGGTATGTGTTCACTCACTTCACGATCTATAGACAGACATGTGACAGTTTAATTGGGATTTTCACTCACCTCATAGTTCTTAAAGACTTGTGTTTGAAAAAACAAACAAACCTATATGTTATTCTATGGTGGTATACTGCACCTTCAGGTTTCTGTGCAATGGCGCAGATGTATGTTAAAAAAGGCAAACGGAACAGATCTACTAGGATAAACCACAGGAACTAATAACTGATAAAGCAATTAAGCAGAACTCCAGGACTTTGAAAAGTTAACCTTTGCAGTGGGGCTAAGAAATACTCACCCGATCCTCATTCCCACCTGGCTGCTAGACTAGTCCCCAGCAGCCTCTTCTTCCCCTGGGTTTCCGGCGGTCTAAGGACCCGTGACATCATCACATCGAATACAGGTCTATTAGATGGAAAGACAATGAGGGACTACTACAGCCGAAACAGAGTAGGAGAGAGGTGAGCAGTCTGCCGCAGCACCGAGGATCGGGTGAGTATTTCTTCTTTATTTCAACCCTTGAGAAAAGCAAGCAGTTAACCCTTGCAGTGCAGGGGTAGCCCCACTGCAAGGGTTCATTTGTCAAAATCCTGAAGTTCTTTTTTAACTTAGAAAATGAACTGTATAACTGGCAACCAACAACAGCTTTTAACACTTCCCATAGTGAGGGCACAGGGGATCTATTTATACAATTCACAGGGCCCTTCACCATGCAAATATCTGTGAACATTCGTCCTATGTGAATATATGCACAAAGGAATGTTCTTTAGTTTCTTTCCGTTACAAGTCTAATTAAATTTGAACCCTCTGACTCTAACATTGCATTACAGTTACTAGAAGGAGCTAAGGAGAAAATAAATATTTATTTCCTATGCTCCTCAGCTCCATCTAGTGACCATAATACAAAATTACAAAAAGAACGTTCAAATTTAAAGTGACACTCACTTTTTGTGACTGATGCATAAAAATCTTATCTGTTTATCACTCGGCTGTAGATCCTCAAATCATCTCTGAATTGGTGCTGAGACCGTCCTTCCTTCTGGAGGGTGGCTACTTTTGTTCCCCATGGTCCCTGTGTGTGTTGTAAAGTAACCACCGCTCCAAGCTCACTCCTGTAAAGGACTAAAATCCCAATACCAATCAGTAAACTAAACATGATATTGTAGTCCATTACGGTAGCGAGCTTGGAGCGGTGACTACTTTACAACACACTGGGACCATGGGGAACAAAAGTAGCCACCCTCCAGAAGGAAGGACAATGTCAGCATCAATTCAGAAATGATTTGAGGATCCTCAGCTGAGTGATACACAAATAAGATACATTTATGGTAATAGTTCAGGTACTTGAATGTATTTTTAAGATTTAACTCCTGAGTTTAGTGTCACTTTAATTAAATTGTAAAGTAAAAAAACGAAAGAATGTTCCTTTGTGCATATATTCGCACAGGACAAACATTCACAGATATTCACAGGGTGAACGGCCCAGAGCATTGTATATAAATCAACCCCAAGGAGTATTCATCATATTCAAATTAAATCAGTGACAGTGGTATTTACACTAGTTGCATTTAAAAACATACAAAGGGGAATTTATCATAACTGGAGCAGCTGTTACATGGCAACCAATCAGCTTCTCTCTTTCATACTCAAAGCTTAACAGAACAAACTGAGAAGAGAGAAGCTGATTGGTTGCCCTGGGCAGCTGCTCCAGATTTTGTCTGCCCCAGCTCTGATAAATTCCCCTCAGAATTTGAAAGATATATGGAAACCGATTGGTTGCACCTTTATACGGAGGGCAGAACACTGTTACTCAGTCTACGAGGCACTTTTGTTTCTATAGGCCTGTCAGCCGTTCGCCTACCTTGGCCTTTGCTCTGAAGAATGGGAAACTGACATTGCACATCTTGTTGTGTGGAATCCGATCGCCGTTCTTGCACTCAATCTTGATGTCTGAATCCTCCTGCAGGACAAACACACAGAAATCAAAATATCTATTTTCTCTGTCTATCTATACATTTGCCTAATAAAGGTCCCCGTAGATTACATAGTTAGTCAGGTTGAAAAAAGACACAAGTCCATCGAGTTTAACCTACAGAGTAAACACACATCATGAACTCCGGGCAAAACTTTTATTAACCCTTGCAGTGAGGCCAGTGGCGTCACAAGGAGGGTGCGGCCCACACTCGGGTGACACCATTGGAGGGGTGACACCAAAATGACTCACAGTCATTTTGGTGTCACCCCCCTCTGAAAAGTCGGGCGCTCGGTCATGGACCGAAGACCGACAGTATCAGCAGGATAAGGTATGCCGCCGGGTGACTGTCCCCTCCTCTCTCTGCCGGCGTCCATCACCAAGATGTGCAAGGGTTAACTGCTCGCTTTGGTCTAGAGAGGAAAATAATACAGTTATTCTCACCCTATCCAACGAGCTGGCCTGCTCTTAGACCGGTCCTTCCACCTTGCTTCCCCTCCCCTGCAGCGGTCTAAGGTCCTGTAAATCATCATGTTCTATACACTGTGTATACTGTAGGATGCGGGGATGCTAAGGGACATCCCACCCCATCACTTGAGTGTAGGAGGAGACAGGCTTTAGGGAGTGCTGTCACAGCCGGCCATATCCGAGGATCCGTTGAGTATGACTTTGCAATCTTTCTCCCTAGACCAAAATGAGCAGTTAACCCTTGCAGTGCAGGGGTAGCCCCACTGCAAGGGCTAAGAAACGTTTTGCCCGGCGTTCTTCTTCCTTATGTACCTTTATTTCTTATATTCTCCTAAAACCTTTACTTAAAAGGCTCTTAAGTTGAAAAGTTCATAAAAGTTTTGCATTTTGATTAAAATTCTCAAAGGCCAGTACTTATAGGTGGAGCATGGTTGGTTGAGGCAGCCTATGTATTCTTATATGGTTTGGATATTGCAACAGCGAGCTTTCCCTTCCATGATTCTCAAATCCATTCAAACTGTGTTTCAGCTCCTTCTGATACATTCTCTATAATGTCAAACAAAAAAACAAGATGGAAAATGGAACCCCTCATATCAGCCAGCGCAGGTGTGCAGCCTCTGAGACTCAAGAGATCTCCCTCCCTGATAGATTCCCCAAGTAGTATTGTAATGGATGTGGTTTAACCCTCCAACATTTATTGACATTTAAATATCTATTCTAGGGGGTCTGGCCCTTTAAGCTACCAATGCTGGATATATATTGAAGTCACTTTATTGCATTTCAGTGCTGCTGTCATAGGAAGAATCAATCCTGTTGGCAAATAATCTTTTCTGTCCATTTGAGGGATAGATGATGGAATGGAGAGAACAGCCACACAGAACATTTGGTAAAAATCCAAATCCAGTGCTGATCCACAGGCAGTACATAAAGAATGAAATATTCTGCAATAGTCCTGTGCAGATCAGTTTTCCCCATTACACCTTTTCTGCCATTGTCTCAGCACTGAGAATAGTTAGAGTTACTTTGACCTAGACTAGTCATGAGCAGTGTAATATTTCTGTTTGCTTGGCACATTTCTGGGGCTATGTATTATTATTCTATAGCAACTTCAGATCAGTTTAGGAAAGTAGATCATCATTAAAGGAGTTGTAAAGTCCCAGTATATACTCTCCTGTATAACATCAGCATTGTAATAGGAATACATACTAGAGTTGTCTTTTGATAATCCAATTGAAAGCTTACTTATAATAATCCCTTTTACATAGTGCTGCCTTCTGTCTGCCCATCACTTTCACCAGCTTCCTGGATTCCCAGTGTGCTTTGCATCTCTTTCACTGCTGCTTGATGTGATGCAATATTGCGTTCTACAGAATACATATCCCATCATGCATTGCTTCCAGCAAGCAATGATGATGTTACATTGTTCAGACATTGAGTTCAAAAGGCAGGTTGTGACATAAGCAAGTGCATATTCACAGGGCTGAGTGTCAGTACATTGAGGAAGTACATCCTATGGACATCTTCAATAAGTAAGTTCACAAACATCGAGATGTATGTGGTTATTAGGAGTGGGATAGAACTTATAGTAATCCAATATAGAAATACATATTTATTTTTCGTTTTTGATCAAATATACCCTTTAAGCTATACATAGTCATAAGATGGCAGTTAGAAGATCTGTTCTTCAGAACAGTTGTGCCACAAGCACATTTCAGGACAGCATGCATGCTTATTTATTACAGGTACTTCTATAGTGCTAACAATTTACACAGCTCTTTACATACTGCGCATTCATATCAGTCCGTGCTCTCAAGGAGCTTACAATGTAATGTATCCCTACATTGTAACACATGCTCTATCTCACATACTAGAGCCAAATTAGGCACATACTATTAGCCAATTGACCTACCAGCAAATCTTTTGAGTGTGGGAGGAAACCCATTCAAGCACAGGGAGAACAAGCAACTCTATGCAGACAGTGTCCTGGCTGGGATTCACTAGAAAAGGCAAAACTAAAATCACTCTCCTGATTCTACAGGTGGCTAAAACGTTGCAGAATCCCCCTTTGCCAGAAAGGGATTGAGGTCTTAGGGGTTTCCTCACTGCAGATGCTGTAGAGACAGGCGAGTGTTTTTTTTTGTCCTTTTGCTCCCTCTAGCAATTCTCTCCGTGGTTAGTTGTCTCCGTCAACAGCAACACTAGTGTGACATAGGCCATCACTCTGTGCCTTAGTAAGCAGGCCTGTCCATGTCTCCAGGCCTGTCCCTATGATGAGGCAGCCTGGCGGCATCTCATTAGGCAGGTGTGTGGGGGGGGGCAGAGGGGTGTCCACAGCATCCCAAGTTGCTAATAGCTCTTAGCAACCTGTGGCTCTGTCCGCTCTGTCGGGCTTCCCACCCAGCTCACTCATTGGTTGGCAGGGAGCTGAGCAGGATGGTCCAACTGGCATCCTGCCGTGCTCCTGGCAACCAGTGATGCCAGTGAGCTGGGCGGCACCAGACAGAGCCGCCGACAGGCACAGCTCTAACACAGCCACCCGTCCCACCACATCCTTCACAAACCCACATTCTATCCCAACTCTATGGTCCCAGGTGGCAGTTACAGTAGGGACGGCCCTGCATGTCTCATATCCATTTACCTTTTGGATCAAGCTGGCAAACTGCAGGTTGGGAGAGTGGGAAATATTGAGCACAGTGCTGTACGCGTTCTCCCCTCGGTTTTCAAGGGTCACCTCCAGGGCCACTCGCCTTTTGCTCCCTTCAATGATGAACACAGAGTTGTCAAAAGAACGAATGAACGCATTGCAGTCTGACGGGGATCTCCGGAGAGAGCGATGGCAGAACTCCCTGAGAGCAAAGACAGCCGGAAAAAGAAATGTTAGCAATGACAATATAAGTACAATCAACAATACAATGTGAAAATACATCTTGATATCTGGAGGGAAGATAGACCTGTAAAATATGACATATATTTGGAAGGCGGCGGTATTTTTTGCATCACATGACACGCTGTGAAATTGTATCATGATGGAATTTATAACCGCCAGTGAAATCAAAACACATCAGGGTATTAGGATCTCATCAGACAGGAAAGCATCAGCTTCAAATAGACACCCATGTAATAAAATGAAATATATACCTCCTTACTATAAAACTAAAAGCATGTCAACATTAATCTGTCACATGGGAGGGAAGTTCAAAGCTGTGGACACCAAAAAATGAGATGGTGCTGAAATATCTTTTACTCTTCAGTTCCACAAAGCTGTGATCCTGTAATCGGCAGTGGAAAATCAGCAGTTTTAACACAAAAATCTATTCTTTAAATTTCCCCTTGCACATGACGGGGTATTTAAAGGCAAAGTCCACCAAAAAATAATAAATGCACGCTTCTTCATAAAAGAAAAAAAAAATGTGCATTCCTTTTTTTTTTGATCATGATACAATTGCAGAATGTATCATGTGAAACAAAAAAATCCACTACTTTATTAAATATCCAAATATAAGTCTTGTTTTGCCACGACGTATAAAATAGTAATGAAACCCATTGCTGGTGGGGTTCATACTTTAATAAAAGATTGCCAAGTCAGGCCTCAGATACCGTAACCGCAAAGCGGCTAGGAGGAACTCTGATTAAACCTGTGACACAAAGGAAATGACATAGTTTGCTGTCACAATGCTTTTCACTTTATTCATTTCATGGGTTGGGTGCCAGAACATATTGGGGTTGAATGAGACTGTTCACTTAGCAAAGTGATTGTTCACTGAGTTCTGTACAAAAGATAAGCTTTGTTTTGCGATCTCCCATTGGGGAGATTTCCCTTCACTTCCTGTCCAATAGCACAACATTAAATGAGAGAAAATAACTCCAAAGTTAGGGAAATCCCTGATGGTCAGCAGAGTCACCAGTGTCCCCATTGGAATATTTCTCATATATTTCTGTTTGTGACAAACTAAAATTTGGGATTTTCTTTCACTCTCTGGCCTTAAGATGGCCATACACTTTTATAATTCTCTCGTCCAGCCTCAGAAGCTAAATGAGAGAAATCATTACCACATCCATTCTAAACAGCGTGGATAAAGGAATCCCTACTGCTGGCTATTGTATTCAGCACTGCCTGCATCTGATTGGATGCAGACACTGTTTGGTAGATCATTTTCCACCCGGCTTCTTCTACAAAAATCAATTAAGTGAATCGGGTGGTGCCGAGTCGTCCGAAATTGGAGCTGTGGGTGGTCAGCCGTATTATTGCATGTTACAATATATGGTGCATTATTCCTTAGCCATCTGAATGCTTTATCTTTCCAAGGAGTAATGAGCCCAGAAATGGTTTTAGTGTTTCTTAACCTTTTTTCATCCACAATACCCTTTGAAAGTATGCCAAATCTCGAGGTCCCCCCAGCCAAAAAAAGGTAAAAATATAAAAAATTACGTGTGGTTCCTCCAAAATCGGGGATAGGGGTCTGGTATTGATTTTAAGAGGGCATCCCATGCAAAAATCACAAAAAAGTGGGGTTCCCCCTTTCACATCAGAGCCCACCTTCACATCAGCAGTCCCCCTCACATTAGGATACAGTCCCCTCACATAAGGAGCCCCCATTTACACTAGCCGCCCCATTCACATCAGAGCCCACCCTTTCACATCAGAGCCCCCCTTCACATTAAGAGCCCCCTTCACATCAGCAGTCACCACTCATACCAGGAGCCCCCTTCACATCAAGAGTCACCCCTCCCATCACACTATGAGTCCCCATTCACATCAGGAGTCAACCCCCCCCCCCCTCACACCAGGAGTCCCAATTCACATCAGTGTCCCCCTCTTTCACATCAGGAGCCCTCTTTACATCAGAGGCATGATGCTGTGTAAAAATATTTGAGCCACCCCTGAGGAAACCAGAAGGAACCTCAGAATGCCACGGCACCCTGGTTGAGAAAGGCTGTGCTATGCAATACTTTCTTTGTTTTTAAACTTCACATCGTGCTTGTATTTTTTACTTTTAAGAAGGAAAGTATGTGCCCTACTTAAAATTTTCCACTGCCCTAATATTTGCAAATTACCATACTGTGAGAGAAGCAGACAGCCTGAGTTAAATGCCACCACTAGACTCAGAGACAGAGATTGGGAGAATAAGTGGAAGTTTCTGTTTAGACAACTTTCCTTTATTATTTTCATAACTACTGAGCAATCAATCAAGAGCAGATGTTTCACTCCGCTACCAATGTGTTCTAGAAATGGGGCGATTTTCCAGTTAGAAAGACAATTTACTCTGTAAATTTGAAGATCTTTTTTATGAGTCTATGCAAAATGAACCCTCATTTGTCTGTTCTCAGTGGCCCTTTTACTAAGGTCCGTGTATAGGCCACTAGAAGCCTTTGTTTAGTACTGTGAAGGTTGTTCATCCAGACAGACGAGGTGAGTAACACTATACGTTCACCAGCTGCTACGCCGCTACTGTGCATTGTTAGCGTGCAGAGGGACTGATGGAAACGTTTCCATTACTGAAACATGTGTTTTCAATAAATACTTCACCTCATTATAGGGAGAACTCAGACAATCTGGATTAGATGATCCAGCAAGGTAAAGAGAACATACAGAGAACTACTTAAATAAGAGGCTTGGGACATTAATATGGATTGTATTACAGACAATAAACATCAGCATATAATTACCACCTGACTGTATATATAGGTATGATGTATATATACACTAGCTGCCCCATATCCCATAAAACTGGAATTACAATAGGTGCCTCTAGCAGCCAAACAAACATTAACTTAAAGTAGAACTAAAGCCAAAAATGAATTTTTTATTAGTTTTGACTAGAGTAAGAGAGGGTTAAAAGCCCATCAGCTATTTTTTTGCCATCTGTATCCTATTGGGGAGATTTCCCTTCACTCCCTGTCCAATAGCCACAAAAAGAAGTGAGAGGAAATCCCTCCAAAGAGAAAGAAAACCCTAGTGGTCAGTGGTGTCACCGGGACTAGTGCCCCAATTGGGAAATTTCCCATCTAGTCCTGTTCTTGTGACAATCTGAAATTTGGGATTTTCTTTCACTTTCAGAAGTGAGGGTGAGGGCGAATCTCCCTAACCGGGACACAGACTGCTATAAAAACCCAACAGGTCTTCTAATCCCGCTCCACTCTACCAAAACTGAAACAAAAAAAGTTCTGGCTTCAGTTATACTGTAAGATGGCAAAATCTCTGCAACTGACGGGAGACATCAGATGGCCAGGCTGGTGATTAAATCTTTTGTCTATTGAAAGATTTAACCACTTGTTGGCGGTCCTCTGTTTAGCATTGCACTTATCTCTCAGTACAAGAGAGAACACAAGTGTATCTCTAGGCTTAGAAAATAGAGATTTATCTCCAAGTGCAAATTGATACTGTTTTTTTTGGCAATTATTAGGAAATTAGTCTCTTGAATGGAAAAAAATTGCTCAGGAACGACTGTTAAGGGATGCCTTGGTTCATCGTTTTTTAATTCTAGTTTAACTTTATACTTGCATTACAGGAGTGTAGAATGTGCCCTGTTTTAGGGGGCCTTGGTTTGTCAACTTTGTTTTCCTAGCTTAAATTTATACTTGCATTACAGGGGGGTCATCCTCCAGCATGGCACTTAATTGCATCTAATACAAACTGAAATATTAGTGATAGCTGTACACCAAGGGGTTAACGTACTATCAGTAATTGGTGGACTGCCATTTTTATCTGCACTACCAAGTGAGCGCTGGAAACTGCTTATTTGCAAATCAATAGCTCCACTCACTTTATTTCCAGTTTTACAGCCTACTCTTTACAGTCAAGATAACATGAAAGGAATACATTCTGCAGAGCAGCCATGTAGTATTATATGAAGCTGCAATGACTGCTTCTATTCAGTTCTCAGCGGGTGCTATAAGCATTAATAGACAATTAATAGAGAATAGGTTATGCAGCACACATATGTTCCTAATGAATACCAGAGGAATACCAGAAGAATGACATCAATATATTATACTGTAGTATTATAATGCTGCATGAGTAAATATTATTTCCAGAGGTTTATACTGTACCATTATTCATTCCATACATGTATAACAGATTGATTATAGATAGTGACCTATATACAGTATAGACTTATGCATATACGTACATTGCAGTTGGGATATCGTGTTTCACGTCCAAGTATAGGTCAGGGACACAGCGCTCATCCTGGTTACACCCATTCCAGAATGGAACCTGAACCAAAAGATGTGTCATCAACATTTGCTGTAAATAAAGGCTGCACAGCTTCAGTCCTCGAATGTCATATTCCTCACAATGAACTAAGATTTCTCTATTTCCCTCTCCAGTGTAGAAATAAATTATGGATCAATACCGGAAGGTCTTAAAGTGAATTTCCCAGTCAATGTGTCCCTATAAACTCATGCTTCATTAAAACCTGTCAGGATGTCACTCATTCTCGTACTTACTTTAGTACTTAGTGGGTCAGTGACCGGGAATGAAGCATTCAGGCAAAGAAGGCAGAACTTCCAACCTGCGTACTTATTGGTGAGTGACACTCCCATGGGGAGCCACACAAGCACCACCTGGGTGGTCCTCAAGTCTTTTGCATATACATAACCACATTCATTCCTATTGAGAGGCCGTCATGGAATGAATACAATTTGTCTGTGGAAGTGCAGAATACTTTGGGACCAGCCACGAGGATTTGCAGGAGTGTGGACAAGTTAGTATAAGACTTGGGAGATCGGGGGAACTCATTTAAGGGGTATCTTTACAAGGGGGAAAGCTGTAGAACTTTGCACAAAGGAGGATGCTTGCACTTATGCAGGTAAGGAAGGACATTTATAAGGGTGTTAGATCCTGATATTATGATTTGTTTACCTGGAGATCTGCAATGCTGCTTCTGTGGATGAGATGCCATATACATTAAGTACTAAGCAAATTTTTTCACTTAGTATTGTTTTTATTGTGTGGAGAAAGCCACATCTGCCATGATTAAGCAACACTTCATAAATGGGAAGAAAATTACATTTCCAAGGAAAATAATCAGTTGCAGAGGCTGTGGTATATATTGAAATAGTTTGCACATAATATAACTAATGTGTGGATTAGAAGGAGAGCCATATAATGACTGCACAGAAAATGTTGCACAGCAAGGATATTTACATATCTAAGCGTTAAAAAAACAACATTTTTTAGTACCATTGGAATATTTCTATTGTGTTTATAACACAGTTTTTAACGTAGTATTGTGCAATCATAAATACTAATATAAGACTACCATTTTAGTTTTTGATGGGTGAAGAGGACTTTAGTCTTCTACTAGCTTCTACTGGAGGCTGCAGGGTAAATGCATCTCAAGGCATGATTTATCACTCTTCTTAAAGCCCAATTCCAGCTCCCCTCAGTCCTTCCCCTGTGATCAGAACACCCCCCCCCCGATCCACATTTTTTATCCATAACTTTTTCTTTGAAGTTTTAGGCAGGTCATAAGATGTGCAGGTCTTCTTTGGCTATTCTTTGGCGCTGGGTGGTCCTTAATGATGCAGAGGGTTTTGCTGACATAATGCTGTCATTGCCGTTCACGGCATCATTGCACTGTGAGTGCAGGTTCCCATAGTGAGGCTACCCAACACCCCACTTCTTAATGCCCTGCACTCACTGCAAGTGGGTTGAGTGACACTGGGTGTCATTCAACCCAGAAGAAGAAAGAAGACCAGCACTGGATTGCAGTTCCAGTGAGTCTGTAGGGGAAAGGAGAAGAGCAGGTAAGTATTGCAGCTCAAACAGCACTGTATATTTTTTACTTCCTGGGCAATGTTTTTTCTTAATGAAAAGTAAATATGTGCTTTAAGGTATCCATTTGATGTAAAAGTTCAACAGGCATAGAAAAACTAGATGGTAATAGCTTTGGCAGAGGGGTTGTTTGGTGCAAAGATCTCATTACTGCTGTCCTTGAGAGTTTTAAACAGTCATTTATATGCCAGCATCAATCCATAATTTAATTTCAGTTTTGCATAGGATGATCCATTACAACATTTACACACAGAACACACACATAAACACTATACAAATTGGCATTATAATAGAGAACTTGATGTACATTCCTAGAGCCTGCTGACCACCCTCTGATGTCTATGGCTGAAAGAGAATACTCAGCAGAATGGCTTGGCACATGAGTGCTCAGCCAGGAGATTACATCGTTATATGCTATGCTGTGCATCATTAGTGTTGTATAGAGTAGTGCAGTATTAGAACTTCTGCAAGGTTTTTTCATTCCAAATTCTTTTATTTTAAATTCACAGACAACAACACATATACAGGTCATACATACATACAAACACAAATTCCCCTATACTGCTAACATTCCGGTCTTCCCCTCCACCCCAAGTCCATCTTGCTTCATATCTCGTCTCTCAGGCCATTATACATCATCCAAGGAGACCAAATTAGCTCAAATTTTTGTTCATTGTCATGAAGTATGCTGTTCATCTTTTCATGTATCATTATCCATGACATTTTTGACTTAAATTGTTTAAAGGGGATGCTTGGTGCCCTCCAGGCTTTGGCTATAGTTGTTTTGGCTGCTAAGAGAAAGAAGAAAATTAATCTATCCTGGGCCCTTGACAATCCTGGGATTGAGCAATTCAGCAATATGTATTGGGCTTCTCTTGGAACGTATCCTTGCGTAGCTTTGATGTACTTGTGAAAAGTGAGTGTAGTCTTTCTTCTTCGGGTTTAATTCTCTCCAAATATCTATTAGTGCGTGAGAGTTTATTATCTTTGCCAATCTCGTGCCTTCTTTAAGTAAATATCTCGCTCTAAATGTACCTGGATTAGTTCTATCGAGGCTACTATCTAGAGCCAGGTTGGAGTCCCCCGCACAAATTACAACCCCCTCAAAATGTGGTGCTAAGCTGTGAAACATTTTAATAAAAAATGGAATTTGAGCTGTGTTTGGTGCATAATAAGATATCAATGTGACCAACTTATCCTCCAAGTGTCCCTTCAAAAATAAATATCTACCCTCGGGATCTTTAATCTCCATCAGGGAAGTTGATGTGTTTAGAGAAGCAAATAGCCACTCCTTTCGTTTTATCAGGTGCACTACTCAAAAAAACTGTGGGAAATGTGAATTCATATATTTAGGTTGATTACTTTCAGAAAAATGAGTCTCCTGTAAGAACAGAATTCCTATCTTTAGTGCGTTGTAATAATGAAATGCCATTTTTCTCTTTATGGGAGAATTAAAACCCCTGACATTATGGGATGCAAACATTACTGGTGTCCCCGCTGTCATACCCCCTGCATTCTCAGCTCGCCCCTAGACTCTGGAGCTTTCTTCCCAGAATGCCTATCCCAGCTCAGGGGTGTCTTGAGGGCTCGGTTGCTCAGTTTGAGTTTTGCGTGAAATTCATATAGGGAAACATACCTAACACACACAAAAAAACCATATATCCCATATACACACATAACATATAACACATAACACAAATCTTGAGCAGGTTCACCTCCTGCCCTCCCCCTCTTCATATGTATTGACCCCATGTCAATACCAGACTTGACCCCCCTCTCGGGAAATCCCGACACCTAGGTCAAGTCAGGGCCCACATCTGCCCAGTACGGTCGAACCCCCACTCCTCTTTATAGCTCCTCTAAAATTTCTTTAAGTAGATTTTTTTGCTGGATAATACAAGAAAAAATAGCAGCACAGTCATAGTCATAACAGCATAATCATACCAAGCAGCAAGAGTGATAAAAAGAAGAGAGGAAAGAAAGAGAAAAAAAAAGAAAGGAGAAACGGAAGAGAGGGAGAGGAAAGGCTTTTTTTTTTTTAGCTCTTTCCTCCCCGGGTTGATGTCGTTCTTCCCTGAGGCTTATGCCATAGTGGAGATATGGGGCAGTACTCCGCCCAGCCACTATTGTCCGAGTGTATTATTTCTGGATCTCCAGGAAGCAGTCCCAAATGTCTCAATAGTTGTTCACCTTCTGGGTATGTTATGATTGAGTAAGGTTTATTCTCAAAAGAGAATGTCAGCCTAAAAGGGAATGCCCATCTGTATTTTATTCCCTTGGTTATTAGGACCTGTAATAGAGGTTTCAAAGTACGCCTTTTCTGTATTGTAGCTGGCGAAATATCAGCATAAATCTGGATTGGATGTCCTGCCATAGTAAGTTCTGTGCGTTTCCTAGCGTTTTGCATGATCAGCTCCTTTATACTATGGAAATGCGGTTTTACAGTGATATCTCTGGCATACCCCTCTGAACTCTTAGCCGTAAATGCGCGGTGGATTCTGTCCAGTTCCAGCTTATATTCCTCCACGCCAGGTATCAGCTTTTTCATAAGGAGCTTCACATTAGAATCCAGATCGGTTATTGTTTCAGGGAGCACCCTGATGCGGAAGTTGTGACGAGGTGATCTGTTTTCTAAGTCATCCACTTTAGCGTACACATCATCTAGTTGGTTCTGCAGATGTCGTATATCTATTTTATGTTGGTTAGTATGTTGTATAGTTTTATCTAGTTTTGCCTCTATAGAGTCTATACGCATCCCCAATTCTCTCAGATCCGATCTTATCTCTGTGGTAATTTGTATAGCCATCTTATTCAACCCCTGTTCCAACATTTCAGAGAAATGGGTCAAGATGTTATCATTTCCAATCCCTCTCCTTACCTCTTCCCTTAGATCAGCATAGGTGGGGACATATATCGGGCTGGAGGGGAGAGAAGCCTGTTGTGACATGAGCGTGTCTTCTAATGTCCTCTCAATAAGTGATCCCATCGAGGCAGGCGAGTGCTCCCCTTTACTCACCACTGCCTTCTTCGTGGAGACCGACTCAATGCTCCTCCTTTGTGAGATGCCATTACCCTCTCGAGGGCTCAACACCACCGCCATCTTAGTCTTGCCGCTTGCCGCCGTCTTAGCGCCCTGCGCCTCCTTCTTTTTAGGTGGTCTCCCGGTCATTGCTGATTTTCAGTCCGATGATGGGGGACTCCCCGGCTGCCTTCTCTGTTTGCTATAATCTGCCCGCTCATGTTCGTTACGGGAGCGGAGGTTCAGTTCCGTACTAGGTGCGAGGCTCACGGACCGGACATCCGATCCGCCTTACTCCGCGCATGCGCCCTCCTTCCTCTGCAAGGTTTTAATGTTATATGTGTTCCTACTGGGAAGAGCTTCCCTCACTTCCTATGTCAAGACGTGTGGGGAAATAAACCAACAGAGTAACATAAAGCAGTTCAAACCTGACAAAGGATTTAAATCTTTACCACTCTTCTAAACATGCTTCTATTTCTGTCTGGGTCCCCTATAGAGAGACCCTTCACACATCCTGTCCTGCAGACCATGAATAAACTTGGGGGATATGTCTCCAGTGGGGACATAGACAACAATTAAAACTCAGCAGAAGTTCAAACCCTTCCTCACTCTATCCAAATCCAAAAAATGAATGCAGGCTATGGCGTCTTTCATTAATGACCCTGCCAACGTTTGGACAGGTAGGTTAAGAGTGCTGCTGCATCAAGCACTGTAATGTTCAAAAGCTAAGATAAACTGACAACTAGACCTTGTCACATGCATCTGATTAACAATGCACAGAAGACATTATTAATTATATTCTTGAAAATGTGAAGGCTTGACCATTCAGACATACAGTATAAATTAATGGTTTTCTTTCAACATATTACTTATTTTATTCAGTACTTACTGATGCTTTGAGAGTTGCTGGCCAGCCTTCCTCCAGCACTGGTCCCTGGTCAGGAAATGCCAACTCATACTCCAGAGAAAAGGTGATGGGCTTTACGTAGTCTGCTGTGTCCTAGAGAGGAGAGGGAACATATATAAATAAAAAAAATCATGTTCTCTTACTTTAAAAGTGATACTCATCTTTCCTAAGTCATCCCTAAGGATACTGCTATTTTACACATATTATATTTATTTCTACTTGGAAACCAAGTAACATTCCTCTCATCCAAACGTTTCCCTATGTGGTTACAGCAGTCATTGTCAGTACTTAAAGGGGCAGTGTATAAAAAAATCAGTATGGTTATAACATAAGACAGCTATGGATGTGCATATCCAGACAAGGTTTTAGTGTATTTTAAAATGATTCAGATCTGAGATTTGAAAATGTTTAAAAGTATATGAATCCCTAATTGGGAAGGAGATCAAAAAAAATTTCAAGTGGTAATGACCCTATGCGCTGTGGCATACGTGCTTTTGGGTGCCACGTTTTAGGCATCATTCAAAGCCAAAGCTAGTACAGATCTTTTGGACGGATGAGAATTGGTCCGAGAAATATTGAACCAGTAGTTCAGATGATAGTTGAGTTTTTAGTTCTTGTGGTTCAAGTGTATGTAATGCTTAACAATGAACTTCTCTTCTTTGCTCCCCTGTGTTCCGTTAAATAAAAAAGAAACTAACCAGAACATGGAAATTGAGCTGCTGGCACTGGCTGTGCCCACTTGTGGCTCTGATGGTTTCAATGAAGTGTTTGTCTCCCCCAATGTCATCAATCACAGCACGAGGAGTGTATCTGCGCTCATCAATTGTCACATTGTATTTAATACCTGAGGATACAAGTACAATGTTAGTCACCCTTACAATTATACCAGTCAAAATCTAATTCTGTGAAATCTTTGTAAAGGTCCTGAGCGGTTAGGCATTAACATTCTATAATATTAATATTAAAAAATAAATTTTTTCATGGGGGGGATATATGTTGTATATATGTTTGTAAATTTTAAAATGGTATAATTAAAAGTAATACATTTTTTTTAAATAAAAAAAATCGCAACAGCACAAACCTGCCAATGCATAAACACTTTATACCATGCATAAATGGCTCAGCAGCTAGCACTTCTGCTTTGCAGCACTGAGGTCCCTGGTTTGAATCCAGGTTGAGCCAGAACGCTATCTGCTTGGAGTTTGCATGTTCTCCCTGTGTTTGCATGGGTTTCTTCCCAAGATAAAGACATTAGATAATATGCTCCTTGAGGGCAGGGATTGGTGTGAATGAATAGCGTGTAAAGTGCTGTGTAAATTGATGATGTTATACAGGTGAAACTCAATAATTAGAATATCGTGCAAAGTTCATTTATTTCACTAATGCAACTTAAAAGGTGAAACTAATATATGAGATAGACTCATTACATGCAAAGCAAGATAGTTCAAGCTGTGATTTGTCATAATTGTGATGATTATGGCTTACAGCTCATGAAAACCCCAAGAACCCCAAATCCACAACCTCAAAAAAGTAGATTATTACATGCAATCAATAAAACAAGGATTGTACATAGAACAATATCGGACCTCTGAAAAGTACAAGCATGCATATGTACTCAGTACTTGGTTTGGGCCCCTTTTGCAGCACTTACTGCAATTACTTTTGCACGATATTCTAATTATTCGAGTTTCACCTGTATATACAGTATACCTGTGATAAATACACAAGCAAAACAAGGCCATTTAATGAACACCAAAATATAGAGGGGACATATTAAAGAGCTGGTAAAGCATTTAGTTTTCTCATTACATATGATATATTTATTTTCATGCTCCTAAAATTTGCATGTCATTAAACTGTCAAGAACATGTAATATAGATACCCTACATTCAGTGTTTCCAATCACCCCCTCCTCCTTCCCCACTGCTCCCATAATGAATGCTTGTCGTAGTTCTAGAAGATTGGGCTTCTCATAACTCTCAATCAGAAAGCTTATGGGAGTCCTCACCCTTGTCTGCACCTTCCCCAAAGCCTGGCACTCATTATGGGATCAGCAGAGGCTATAGACATTGTGTGCAGGTCCAGCACTGCAATGTAGGAGTGGTAAAAATATGAATTCTTATTTATTGTTAGCAAGGAGCACAAGGCCATCTGGTACCGAATGTAAGTATATGATATATTTCTACAGTTATTCTTTAATGCCAGTTTAGTAACTTTGACCTCAATAGAGATCACTTTAAGGATTCTCTAATAAAAATTTGCAGTTGCCCATATTTGTTTTTTTTCTACCTTTATACTTAGCTTGCATATTACAGAACCATTCACATCAGTTGCTTTGTCTTGATTTGAAGGAGGTCACAATGAAAGGTCCCTATAATATACAGTATATACCCACACAAACATGGGAATGCATACAAACTCCATGCAAACAGTGTCCTTGGTAAGATACATAGGATCAGGAGTGGGCAATTAATTTGTTCAATGGACCACATGAGAAACTGGGACTGTTGTGGAGGGCTGAACCAATAGACGTTGTAGGTTCACAGCTATGCTGTGTATTGATGGCAGTTTTCCGTGCGATTAACACACAGTATGCACCTATCTTGAAGGCCTGCGCATCACCTGTCAGCCAGCCGAGCAGAGCATAGTTTGGTGATTGGTCTGTGTCTGGATCATAGGTCGGACATGGACAGACAAAGTGCCAGATATGGCCTGCGAGGTGTAAAATGCCCAGGTCTGACCTAGATAGACATGCTAACCACAAACAGCTGCCCAAGTTTTATTTAGTTTTCTTTGGACTTTTTCTCTTTAGTTTTTGTTTTTTTTGTGCTGATGTCAATGTATATTTTATATCAGTAAAAGAAAAGTAGATAGCTATAGGTTAGTTAGTAAAAAGATCAAATAGACTAAATTAAAATATATACAGAAAAGGGACCTTATTTGTACCCTGTTCAAATGTATCATGTCATAAAATGTCTTACCTTGCACTTGCCACATATCATGTTACTTTAGAGGAGGCCAGGAAAGGATGGCAAGCAGACAATTCCACTATAAGCCTGGGAAGTGGCAGAGGCAAGATTAACATTGTTTCTGGGTGAAATTCCCTTCCCCGAGGGGGACAGAAGTTTTGAATGCTTACTTGACACTGGTGCAGTCCGCATGGCCCTCTGTGCTTCTGAAGTTCCCCCTTGTTGCCTCAACAATAATATTGTTTCAAGTGTTGGTTTAACTGGGGAATCAGTCCCTCTTAAAGAAACTAAGCCCCTTAGATTGTGCCTTGGGAAAGATACTGCCTTGTGTCCACGTCAGTTTCTCTAGCATTAAACTATATGGGTGCACCTTGACCTTTTTCTTCTAGGATAAGTTTGGTATCGAATTTAATTCTGTCTACGAAACTTGGTTTACCAGAAACTCTGGCACAAAGGTAGAACCAAGCCTCTTTCAGTGCCAGTCCAAGTGAGATTAAAGGCTAACTTTACCTTCATGTTATACTCATATTTGAGATTTAACATGAAACATGTCCTTTGACAAGAATTATGTAGGGAGCTCAGTGGGAGGAGAGCACCATCCCCCAGCCAGTCACCCCTTTCATGGACTTACTAGGAGTCCTCACATCACCCGACCGTTCACACTACCGTTACATGGATGGCAAAAGTGGCAGACGGGCGGGGAGAAGGCGGGGGAAGAGGCAGAGCGAGAGGGGGGCCAAGTTGCTGCACCATGGGCCTCTGGGTTGTACTTGCCCCCTGGGCTAAAAGTTGCCAGTCAGCCCCTGATGTGCAGTGATGTCACATTACTTGTAGTCCATTCATTCTTCCTCCCGTCCATGTTATTGAATGTCCGTACTGACATGGACAGGAAGATGAGTCTGCAGGAACCTGAGCATTGCACCCACAAACCACTGATTGCGGTTTTAATGCTTTACTGGCCCCAATGCAAACAAAATTAAATAAATGCAGTTTTTGTATTTTATGAATTTGTGCATGTACAACGTATTATTTTTCTTGGAAAAGGTGGACTTTACCTACCAAACCAAACCAAACCTACCAAATATGTGCGTCTTCAGCGTGTTTTGTGTAGCACGTTTTTTGCACGTTTGTGTGCATTTTACACTTGCACATACATTTGCACGTTTTTCTAGCGACGTGCGTTTTGCTACAAGCAACAAAACGCTCAGGTGTGAACTTGGCCATAGAAATTCATTGGACATTTCTCAGCCTTTTTTTGGGCCGAAAACATTAACCTGGAAGGTGATGTGTTAATGTGAAAAAGAATTTGTAGATAAAATATATACTGTATGTTTTGTTTTGTGTGAATCTGGGTAGTGGGATATAGAATGTTACCATAGATCCAGGGTATAGGACATTTTTAAAGCTGAGTTCTGGGAAAATGAAAAACTACTCTTGCAGTAGAGCTCCCCACCTGCAAAGGTTAAATGCTCATTTTTGTCTAGGGTACCATTAAAAAGCACTTTTACCTACGTTATCCCTCACTCACACAATCTTCCTCCTCTCCATGCCTCCGGTCCCCCAAAGCCACTTCTCTTATTATTGGTATTTATATAGCGCTGATAATTTATGCAGCGCTTTACATAGCGCACATTCACATCAGTCCCTGCTCTCAAGGAGCTTATGGTCTAAGGTCCTTATATCACATGCATACATACGAGGGCCAATTTAGACAGGAGCCAATCAACCTACCAGCATGTCTTTGGAGTGTGGGAGGAAACTGGAGTACCCGATGGAAGCCCACGCAAGCACAGGGAGAACATGCAAACTCCTTGCAGATAGTGACCTGGCGGGGATATGAACCAGGGACCCTGAGTGCTGATGTCATCACATACAGTGCAATGTACAATGCAGGACCAGCAGTGCCGGCGGAGCAACGATGGAGAGAAGAGGTGAGCGCCGGCTTCCCGGGAAGTGAGGGATAAGGTAAGTAAAAGTGTTTTTTCAAGTGTATCCAAGACAAAAAACAAGTATTTAGCCCTTCTAGTGTGTCGGAAGCTCCACTGCAAGGGGAGTTTGTTTTTTAAATGTAGCTTTAAGTTGTATCATAATAAAGTATTTAAGGATATTTCCCAAGGTGGGCAGGTATCTACATCCGTAATTCACAAATCGTTTGGGAAATCATGATGTCGGACATAATGGTACCCTCATACGCATATATATTTTTTCCATTTCAATTATTTTATTATAGAATTAAAAATCTATAGCACCAATAAAGCACATTCATAATGGAAAGTGAATATCGACACAAGTTGTATCATAACTCAAGAATATACAGTATATTTTATATAATGCATTCTTTTTTATTTTTACCTCATGATCCTGCCAGTAACGCACTTTCTGTCCTTGGATGACAGCGCTCACTCACTATTTAATCTATGGAGAAGCAGCATTGTCTTCCTGGGTTGCTCCCTCCTGACTTTGACTGCAACCTTAAAACTGCTAGACATTTCAGTGCAGCAGAGGCAGACAGCACAGAATGTTAGGAGCTCACTGGATTTCTGGCAGGATTAACAGGTTTTTTCTGTATTTGAAGTATTTTGAAGAGACAAAACATGGGGAAATGTGCATGTATTGGAGAGATGTACTGAATGTGTTTCATTGTTCATGTGCCCATTCTTACTCAGCAGTTTGCTCATATATTGCCTGATTGTCATAAGATCTGCTCAGACTAATTGTAATACTGTATATTGTAGGCTGTATATGGCATATGGTACATTCCTTCTGCATAGTACAATTGACTTAACTTGATTTAAGGTTTGGGTACCTACCTACACTCTGCCCCTGGAACTGGGGAGCTTTAAACATCGGTGAGAAACAGATGAATGCTGCCATGCAAGTGGCTTCCCGTCCATTCCTGTGACATTCTTTGCTAAAAATGTTGATCTTCGGTGGCTCAAATCGAATGGTTGCATTAATCTGTACAACACTGCGAGTCCTGCCATTAAAAGCACAAGGTATCATTAAACTGTTAGTGGTCATCGTTTCCGTTTTTGACAGAAATTATATAACCTAAGTCAGGACAAAAGCTCATAATGGTAGGGTAAAGAAAGTTAGATGTTTCTCATTTTGTATGATCTCATCATTACTGCCCAGTTGTCTCAATGACTTTCAATGCTAGCAATGGCATTGCCATAGGTCCAACCAGAAAGTAGGCCCAACTATCTGCTATTATATATTGATTACAGATAATGTCCTCTTTCATGCCGAGTGCCAGAGAAAAAACTGATCTACTAGCAGTAAAAATAAAATATCCAAATATTAGTTTTCCCCTATAGACATGCACATACTGATTAAACCAATCAAAGAACAAATAAAAAATGTGCTCTCATGTTAGCAGATTTCTACTGGGATAAAATCACCCTTTGCACTAAGGTGCCCATAGACATTAGATGATTGTATTTGTAGCTGTGTGGCCGTGAAGTTATAACATATATATACTATACTATTTTATACTATACTATATACCAGAGGTAGCCAAACTCCAGCCCTCCAGCTGTGGTGGAACTACAAATCACATGAGGCATTGCAAGATTCTCACAGCCACAGACATGACTCCCGGAGAGTGATGCATCATGGGATTTGTAGTTTCACCACAGCTGGAGGGCCGGAGTTTGGCTACCCTTGCTATATACAATATATAGTATACTATGGGGTCTATTCACTAAGCTGCCGTAGGCAGGCGAGTGAAAGACTGACCTGAAGTGAGTTTTTCGGCTGTTCGGCTATTCACTTCAGTCTGGTACGGCTGATTTCAGCCGTATATCGGCCGAAATCAGCCGTACATCTGCTCAGGATGTTCGGCCGACCCGAAGTGCAGAAGGAGTTCGACTCAGCTGATCCAACATCTGGATCGGCTAAGCCGAACCTCTGGCAGGCTACTCGCTGCTGTCCAGTCTATTCTTATAGATGCCGAACAGCAGTGAGTGAATAGCCGAATGCCGCTGAGCGGCATTCGGCTCGGCTGTTCTGCTCGGTAGCCAATAGTAAACTAGCATTGCACCTGCCCTCTGCTGCAGTTCTCCATCAGGTCCATCAGCAGAGGGCGGGTGCAATGCTAGTTTACTATTGGCTTTTGCAAATTGAAATAGCGGCTCGGTGCAGCTAAAACAGCGGCTCTCGACTGAGCCGCTCGGCTAAGTTTGGGAGCTGTACGGGCTATTGTGAAGAAGTAGAACCGAAGAGGTCCTGGGGCTGAAGCTAGCCGAAGGATAGTCCGAAGCTATGGCTAGGTCCTTCGACTGCTTCGTGAATAGACCCCTATGTATACTTTTTTACATAAAAGGGGCCTAAACTACAAACTCCAGAACTAGGAAGTGTGGCATAAAGATATTGTTGCTGTGGTCTCCAATGGTGACCATACACATAGTGATTTGTGATAGGTCCAGTGGCGTCACAAGGGGGGTGCGGCCAGCACCTGGGTGACACCATTGGAGGGTGACACCAAAATGACTGATGGTCATTTTGGTGTCACCCCTTCTAAAAAGTCAGGCACTTGTATCAATACTTGTGTCCCCAACGTTAAAGATGGCTTTTGACATTCACAGTACATGTCTCAGTCCAATAGAATCCACCTGTAACTGAGATCTACAATTTGGGTGCACTGACCTTAAAAACTTTATTTTGTTAGTTACTACATCATGCATGTTATACATTATTGGAAGAAGGTTTATCACAGCAGTATTGGTACACTATCATCCACACACCAGAGTAGAACAGCGTTTCCCATAGAACCCACTGCCAGATCCACCAGACCATCCTCGTTCATATCCATCTCTCCATGAATGTTGCAACCAAAATAGGCCAGTGTCGGAGACAAGTCTTCTGCAGCAATGCGCTGGATATACGAGAACATGAAAAGAGTATTAACATCAGCATCCACTAAGGTGCCATGGTGACGGAAAACATGCAGAAATATCTTCTCGGTATTTATAGGGTATATCAGGGCAAAATAAAGAAATGCAGTAAATCTCTGTAATGCACACACATTTCCCTAAGTATTATTCCTTTAAAGACCCTATAAGTATGGAATAACATCTGTTGATGTGTCAGAAATGCACTTAGCTCCTAAGTCCTGTTGTGGGCTGACAAAACACAGCATTTTTAGCACTGAGTGGTGTCAGCCCTGCCCTGCCTCCTACTTCCGATCTCTAAAACATAAATCTTATCATTCTCCAGTCCAAACTTATGCACTAGGAGGGCTAATTAGACTGCTTGCATTAACACACAAAGTGTAAACAACACACTGGAAAGCTCTACGCTTCTGACATGATCAACAAGTATTTCTTGCACAAAATGTACAGACATAATCAAATGTTTTCAATGGTATATTTAACAGACCACAATAAAGCAAATAGGAGAAGTTCATTGTTAGGGTTTACATACTCTTCAAAGGCCAGGATCAGATATGTGATTTTTTTAAATGTCCTTCTGCCTTGTGCAGTTCTGTGCCAAATTATAAGGCTAGTCCACATCAACAGCTGTATATCTATCAGATTTGGCTGTCACCATAGATCATAAAATATGCTGCAGATTTGGCTGCATACAAGGAGACATATAGGGGGTCTGCATATGTATATGTATGGACAACAGTGTTGTCAGGCAGTTGTTTACCAGTGTTTTATTCATCAGTTTCTTGTTCTACAGCCAGGGTTGGGAAAATCTGGCCCTCCTGCTGTGGTGAAACTACAAATTCCATCATTAATCTGGCTCTGGGAGTCATGCCTGTGGCTGTCAGAGTCTTGCAATGCCTCATGGGACTTGTAGTTCCACAACAGCTGGAGGACCAGAATTTGTCTACACTGTTCTAGACTTTACTAGAGAAAACAATTGCAAGAATCTGACTGATGCAATACAGATTCCATTCTTCTTATGTATTAAAGTGACAGTAGTTAAATCTTAGAAATACATTCAAGTAACTTAACTATCAACCAAAATGTATCTTATTTGTGTATCACTCGTCTGTAGTCCTCAAATCATCTCTGAATTGGTGCTGACACTGTCCTTCCTTCTGGAGGGGGGCTACTTTTCTTCCCCATGGTTCCTGTGTGTGTGGTAAAGTAGCCACTGCACCAAGCTCGTTTCCATGATGGACTATAATCTCAATACAAATTAGTAAACCAAATGTGACATTGTAGTCCATCACAGGAGTGAGCTTGGAGCTATGACTACTTTACAACACACACAAGGACCATGAGGAACAAAAGTAACCCCCCTCCAGAAGGAAGGACAGCGTCGACACTAATTCAGAGATGATTTGAGGATCTACAGCCAAGTGATACACAAATAGGGTGCATTTTTGTTATTAGTTAGGGTACTTGAATGCATTTTTAAGATTTAATTCCTGAGTTTAGTGTCACTTTAAGTCTTATGTCTTAAGTCAACGTCGATACAAATTGAAAATGTTGAAGCCGAAAAAGAAAACCTTGATGGTTACCAATCATATGAGTCATTAGCAATCTAGATTTCTACCTGTTTGTATTTCTTGATTATGTTTTTCTTGAATCCATGGAAGATATAAATGGCACCCTTATGGCCATCTTCTAGAGGTGCCCCGATCACCACATCATTGTAGGAGTCTTGGTTTAGGTCTGGCACTGCAGAGATGGCATATCCAAACCGTGAATCTTGTGAGCTGTCCAAGTCACGCAAAGCTCCATCTGGAACAAAGCGTTTCTGTAACAAGACCAGAACACAGTTCCACAATATAGTACAGTGTGTATAAGAGGAATATAACTCCTGAACTGAAGTGTCATAAGAAAGTCTCCAAATTCAGAAAACAGTGGCTATCAAAAACAAGCTGTGAGAATATTAGTTGTGTTTCACACATATGGAAAAAGTTTGCAAGCAAAAACAAGTTTAGACAAAAGCTTCATGTCATATCACAGGAATCGTGCTTTTACTCTTTGGGTTAGTTATAATACTACTTTAAAGTAGAACTCCGGTCAATTCTCTTTAATTACGAAAGGTTAGAACCTTGGTTGTATTTTTACTGCTGTTGGTATCCTTATTGGTTAGATATAAACATATTCTGTGTCTTATGTTTTGCTTATTTTTGGCCTGTTACTTCCCGTGGTGTCTCTGGGGGCAGGAAATGAAAGGAAATATGCCCCCGGGAAGATATAAAATGCAACTAAAGCCGTGGATCTAATCCTTCACAAGTTTATTGTAAACTAAGGGGTCTATTCACAAAGCTGCCGAAGGATCTAGCCATAGCTTCGCCTGATCCTTTGGCTAGCTTCGGCCCCAGGACCCCTTCGGTTCAGTAGAACCGAAGGGCTGCTTTACGGGCTATTCCTTATAGCCCGTACAGCTCCCGAAGTTGGCCGAGCGGCTCAGTCGAGCCGAAGGCATATGCCTCGGCTCGACTGAGCCGTGCTGAAAGCCGAAGCTGGCCTGCTTCTGACCGCTGGGCGGAGCCAGCCGTCATCTCACGGCTGGCTCCGCCAACTTGCAGAGAGATCAGCGTCCCTGGTTACCAGATCGAGCGGAGTAAACCTTTCCCTGCTCGTTTTTTTCTTTTTTTTCTTCTGACGCCAGCCGTTGGCTGCCGTCAGAAGAAATAAAAAATAAAAAATAAAAAAAGAAATCCCCACAGGAAAGCATAGCTAGATTCCTATTGGCCATTTCAATTTCCAATAGCCAATAGCAAACTAGCTATTGCACCCGCCCACTGCTGCTGTCAATCAGCAGAGGGGGACCTGCAGTTCTCCAATAGAAAACATTTAGGCGGAGCTAGCTGTCACTGCTAGCTCCGCACAATCGTTTTCAATTTTTTTTCTACTTTTTTAACAATTTTTCTGTTCTGGTCGGTGCCACAGAGGGACCGAGCTGAACAGCCGAGCCGAATGCCACTCAGCGGCATTTGGCTATTCACTCACTGCTGTTCGGCATCTATGAGAATAGACCGAACAGCAGCGAGTAGCCTGCCGAAGGTTCGGCTTAGCCGTACCAGCCTGAAGTGAATAGCCAAACAGCGTTCGGCTCACTTCGCTTGGGGTCGGTGAGTCACTCGGCTGCCTACGGCAGCTTAGTGAATAGACCACTAAAAGAAAAATCTGCAGGGAGGAGGGCAATACAAAGAGTCTGCAAGAAGAAGAATCTAGAGAAGGAATAAGAGAAGGGATCAATGGGGAGTTAGTAAGAGATGGTTTAGACAGAAAGAGATTAAGAGGAGATTAAATCTACATTTGTAACTAAAAAATAACATGTTGTATTACAAATATAAAGTATTAGAATGAAATGTATGACATCTTTTAAACAAAACAAACAAGCCGGTTACCCTGCGAATATCTGTGAACGTTAGCTCCGTATGAATATATGCCAAAATGAATGTTTAGTTATTTTCTTTACACAAAGCCATCTACAACTCCACCTCTGGTTACATCTTCAACCTTATCTCAAGATATCACCCTAACCCTCCTCTCCACTGCTCTGAACTTCCAGTTATTCACAAAAGGGTGAAGGGTTTGGAGAAGGCAGGAGAAGTGAACAATCTAGGACAACATAGCTGAACTGGAAAGTGAGCTGAATTGGAGAATATTTCCAAATCAGCTATTTTGGCCTAGATTGCTCTCTTCTCCTGCCTTCTCCAAACTCTTCACCCTTTTGTGAATAGCCCTGTTAATTTTTTTCATCAGGTATTAATTATTTGATATATATTATTGTATATATTTCATATTTACAACACAAATAGTAACTTTTTTAAGATATGTTGCGATGAAAGAGCTTTACCCAAGATCTTACACAGCCAAATGACACAGCCCTCCTCCTCTCTCCTAGCGGAGGGACCCAGCTGCCTGACTCAGCTATATCAATATGTCTTTAAGCATGCCGGCAATGTAGTTGCCCATTGGAAAGCCCAGTATGCTTTAAAATGATGGTACCATAGCCATCCCGCTTTGGGTTTGGACTGGATTGTAGATCAATATGTCTTTAAGCATGTAGGCAATGTTGTTGCCCATTGGAAAGCCCAGTATGCCTTAAAATGATTGTATCATAGCCATCCCGCTTTGGGTTTGCACTGGATTGTAGTGCTTTTTGCTTTCCCACAGATTTCTAACGTCCATTGTTGTGATGATTGCCATTTCACTATGATCTTTTGTACTTCTTTTTATGTACTTACTGTCTTTGTTTGCTCCTTGTTAAAATAATAAAATGTTTTGTAAAAGAAAATTAGGTATCATAGATGCACCTTGTACTATTTTAAAAATGAAGATGCATTACAAATAATTACAATTTGATATAAAACATCAGTTTAGAAACAAACTTTAAACAGCATGTAAAATAAAACCATTATTTAAAGTAGAATGCCACTCAAATTGATATGACAAGGATTAGATGCTCTCTGTTGGGGAGATCTCCATTACTCCCAGTCCTAACACCCAGGACATTTCTGGACTTCCTTTTTCAACTCTTCAGACTTTATTCTTGTTTAGAATATCCACTGGGGGATGCTTATAGCACTAGGTTTAATTGTCTCATTTCTGTATTGACTTTAAAATAAAGTCATTTTTATGTTCAGTCAATCAGTATGTTATTTAGTAAGTTTAGTTATGTCACCCATAACACTAGAGCAGCTAAAATAAATATATAAAAAATGTTGGGGTGTTCTTAACACTTAAATTGGAGTTAAAGGCAGATATTTATTCTATAATATAATATATAATATAAATGATACATTATTATATATATATAATATAAATGATCCTTTGGTATTTATTTCTACATGTTTGTACTTATAAGAAAGGTCGTCACAAATATCTCTATGCTATGCTTGGATTAAAAATCCATCAGCATTTTTTAAACTTTGTAAATTATTATTTTTAAATTACAAACAATGACGAATATTTTGCTGTGTTGTTTCTTAGGAATTTGGCAACAGCATAATTAATATTTTTCTGGGTTAGGAATTTGGCAGCAACAGCAAATTGGATAAGAAAGTTTTCTAACAGTGCTTCCTCTACATTACATGTGCAGTGACCAGAGTAACCCATCAGATTTCAGCCCAACCCAGAAATAGCCGCACTCCAAAGGTCTTCACCGAAGATAAAAAAATTATTTGTGGAGCAAATACATACTGTTTGTTCCTTCCCATGTGTGCTTAACCTCTAATGCGTTTCATCATTCCAGCTTAATCATAGAGGTTAGGCATAGAGGCTAGGCATAGAGGCTTACGCATACTATCTATGAGTAAGCTGAAGTGGTGAAACGCATTAAAGGTTGAGCACACATGGGGAGGAACAAACAGTATGTATTTGCTCCATAAATAATGATTTTTATCTTTGGTAAAGACCTTTGGAGTGCAGCTAGTTCTGGATTGGGTTGCCTGCACCTGGGACGCAATCTTAGTGCAAGCCGGTTCTGGAATGTGAGCAGAGTTTGCTGGGGTTTATCATCAGATTTTAGGTCACTCTAGTCAGAGGATTAAAAAAAAATTAATCTGATGCAAAGTCAACAGCAGGCTTACCTCAAGAGACAATGTGGTGTCTCTGAGGCGATGGCTCTGGGTTGGATAAGGACTTAATTTTGTCTGCAGATAACAGGGATAACAGGCATGAACCTCTCCAGGGCTCTGGGGGTCATGATGGCTTTTTTTAATGTATATTTTTCATTGTGAGGTAGGTGGCAACAAGTAATGGGGCATTCACAATGGGTTTAGGGCTGGCAAGTCAGTAGCATTATAATATATTGGCAGCAGGGGAGGTACAGACGTCAGGCATGCAATTGTTTCCCTTTCCACAATTTTAGTTTTGAAAAAAGTGCGTTCTGCATGAGGCAAAGCAGGAATGGGGGTCTAAACCTTTTCAATCAGAATATTTCAGACTGCATGTAAGTAGTTTGTGTAAAAGTTGGGTTGCACACTGCAAGTTTATTTTCCTTCATCGCCCATATAAAGGGAGTAAGATTTTTAAAATTACTGATTCAACTGATACTGTATAAGCTTTGATTGGTTTGACAGACTTACCTCTTTCATACCATATACTGAGACACGGCCTCGCTCTCTTGCTTCACTGAAGAACATTGGAGCTCCAACCAGCAGCACATCTGTTACCCCATCTCCATCCACATCAACAGAGCCAATTTCACTGCCAAAATATGACCCGATCTAGTGGGGAGAACATAAACTTATGTCACACGATCACAATCCTAGAGAAATGTTTAGTGAAGGCCAATGTCAATTCATTCTAATTTCTGTAAAAAAGAAATCAAGGCAACTGGACTTGCTGTATTTTTCTTGAAGACGTTTCGCTAGTCATCCGGCTAGCTTTCTCAATTCAGAATTCTAAATTGAGAAAGCTAGTAGGATGACCAGCAAAACATCTTTAATAAAAATACAGCAAGTCCGGTTGCCTTGATTAAGTTTTTACAGATGTAGCATGACCTGGATGAATGAGAACTTTCACAGACAATTCATTCTAATGGCCATTCCCCTCCAATTGTGATAATTGGCCTATAATGTGACTTGATATAAAGTGACTTATATGGAGTAGTTACCTGTTCCCCTCGTAAAGACTGATGGATCACTAGGTTGTCCACGCCTTGCATACTAAAGATGATCACTTTCCCTGTATGATTAAATCGTGGAGCTCCTGCGACATACAGTCTGATGCGTTGTGATGTCACTACAGATGTGACCGTGTAGCCTGTTCAGAGATATTGTGAGAACTGTAACATTTCACATATGATTAATAACATTAAAACAACCAAAATCAATACACAATAAGGGAGTTTTATGATTCACTGGGCTGGGATAAAAATCTCCTGAACTGCGGAACTATACAAGACGCTAAACACACCATTTAAATAAGTTTTCTGTTTTGCATGCCAAAGTATTTATTTTGCACAAATATTATTGTGATCTACACACATCTGCCACACTGCGCAGCCAGACAGGTAAAATGCTAAATTCCTGGTTCAGCAATGAACCTTCTTATGCCACCTCTGCACCATCAGTCTTGTAATTGGACAATAATCATTATCCATGTCACTGTTCAATTAGCAACGATTAGATAGGGGTGAACATGTCCTAATGTTACCTCCTTTGTGTTTAATCAATGACCTGTGTGTACATTACAGGCCAACGATAAAATGTTCCATTGATAAAAAGTGGATGCAGAGTTTATTGAATGGGACACCTTATTAATCACCTGTAGTTCTACATGAGGTGGAATTAATTAATGACATTGTGGAAAAGCCAGCAGAGAGCAAAAGGGTTTCTTGCAGAGCAACAGGAGTAAAATGGAAGTGTAAACATTGCCATTGTCTTTAAGCTACGGAGAATGCCTGAACTTATCCAAATAAGTGGAGCGATGAGGTCTTTCATTAAAGTTATCTACAAGTGATGTCCAAGCTAGGTTAAAGGAGGAAGGAAGGAGACAAGGAGGAGCCTCCCTGTCCCTCACTTGCTCGTCACTGCTGAGCCATCTAGATCGATGGCCTCAGTGTTTTTTTTTTTACTTCTTTTGATTGGACAGCTTGAAAACAGCCCGAAGACAGAGTGCACAACAGTCAGCTGTCCCACGGAGTGGGACCCAGGGCATGTGCCATATGTGCCATGCCCTTGATACACCACTGTTCATAACTGATGTTTCTACTGTGGTAATTAACAGTATGAACCTCAGCTAGCATTCAACTACAGAGAAACAAACGAGCCGATCATGGTAATCTACGACTGATACTTTCCTTTATTTTATGGCTTCAGTAGGAACTGTAGATACTAAGCTAGTTTGATCCACAATGTCATATGTACAATTGATTAAGCAGGTTGAACTTGCCTTAAAATAATGTGTGTGTGCTCAGCATCATTCATGGTGGTCCTAATAGTCACCTAAACCCACTAAGACTTAGAATAGTTAATATTTAAAGCAGAGGACTCCTTGGGATGGGATGCAGCAGACAGCTGAGGATTTCTATGCATAATTTGGCTCAGTACTGCTGGCTATCTGCCTCCCATAACATTACTGTACAATCCTGAAGTACGAGAGAAAGACAAACTCTAATGCAGCAGCAGTTGTCAGCTCTCTTTCATAATTGAGAATATAGTCCACATACCATATCATCAATTATCTACAAACACTCAGCGATCACTGATCGCTGAGTGTATGTAGCCTGCTCTCCTCTCTGACAGCTGTCACAGGAGGTTGAGCCAGCTGAGCAGGGAGGAGAGCTCAGCCTCCTGTGACAGCGCAGGCTGTCTCCGCCCCCACATCGCTCTGCGGGACTGTGATAGGCGGCTAAGCGGTGTGGGAGGAGAGACACTGGCCGCTCACCTCGCTCCCCCCCCCCCCCCCCCCCCCGCAGCCAGTACCGGGTCTGTGGTGTAGTGAGCAGCTCCGGGCAAAGGGCCAGGCCTCTTTTCCACAGGACCTAAAGCAATAAGATCCGTCCTGGACCTTGCGGATATAAAACACTAATTTTCCCCCCACAATTTTCCAAGAGAAGTTCCAACGCATAGATCAGAATGCAGAGCTGGGCATTAACTCACAAAGCATCCAGGATTATGTATAATGGACAAAAGATATTGGCTAATGGCTGCCATACAATGTTACACCCACTGCAACAATGACAAGTTTGCAGTAAAATATCTAGAATTATAAAAGAAAATATATTGATTATTAGGGATGCACCGATACCATTTTTTCCAGACCAAGTACGAGTACCAACACTTTTCCCTAAGTACTCACCAATACCAATTAACAATACTTTTTTTTTGTCTCATGTGACAGTTTTTCTAAAACAATACAGACTATTGATTTAAAGATGCCAGGGCCCGTTCACAGCTGCAACCGCTGCAATCCCAGTAGTTCTGCCACTGACTCCAAGCTGTAGAGGGACTACAAATCTCAGCAATACAATATAAAGAAATGCAGAATACCAGCAGTTATAGAGGACTACAAATCACAGCAGTACATTATACAGCAATGCAGAATAGCATCAGCTAAAGAGGACTACAATGCAGATGCCTCGAATGGAGGGTCTCAGGAGGGGGAGATGTGCGGGCCGACAGAAGCGCTGTAAACAGGCGATGCTTCAATTTTTTAAACATAAAACTGTTGGTATCGGTTTTTGGTATCTGGGCATTTTCAGTACGGGTACTTGTAAAAATGACCAGTATCGTCACTGATACTGGTATTGGTGCATCCCTATTGATTATCATTGCTTTCATATGGCATTATTGTAACAGTTCCTGCGTCCAAGTCCAAGCTTTAGCAAACTAATGGTTGTCGAGCTTTATAGTAGGGCTGTTACTGATTAAAATTTTCGTGTTCGATTAATCAAATTTTTTAACAATTGGTTAATCAATTAATTTCGATTAATTATAACGCACATACAGATCCAACTACATTGGCCTATACACATGCAGCACAGCAATGAACTAATAAAATGAACTAGGATCACACTAATCCAGCATGTTATTAATCTCACGTGCCCCACTCAATATGGCCGCCGCTTGAGTGGGGCAACTCAGAATAATAAAGTGCTGGATTAGTGTTGCCTAGTTCATTTTATTAGTTCATTGCTGTGCTGCATGTGTATAGGCCAATGCCTTGGCTGGCGCTCGTGCAGAACAAGTTTCTTGGGCAAACCTCTTAGTTGTAACGAAACCGGAAGTCAGGCAGTCGCAGAACTCGATAAGTTCTCAGTGTCGACAGGTCACCAGCCCAAGTGGCTCCATCCACTAACAAAGGGAAGGGGGGAGGAGTCCGGTGACGCCACGGACATCAACGTCACCAGACTCCTCCCCCCTTCCCTTCATTAGCCGACAGAGCCACTTGGGGAAAGGGGGAGGAGACCGCTGACAGTATGTGACACGGGGACCTTAGATTGTAGGCTTCTTGGACAGGCACTGATGTGAATGTGCAGTATGTAAAAGCACAGCATTGTCAGCACTATAGAAATTATTAATTTAAACAGCTTCATTACTTCTCTGGAAAAGCGTACCCTTATTATACATATGAGTACTTGTTAACCATAAGCATTTAGCCCACATTATTTAACAGGATAGTTTGGGTATGAATTACAGATCCTCCCTGTACCACAGCTGTGAACAAAAACTGTAATCCCTTAAGCAGTGGAAGTGGATGATTTCATTTATTTTAGCTCTGCATCTAAATGATCAAAAACATCCCACTGGGGGCTTGTGGCATCAAAATGCAGTGTCACTCGCCTCTCCACCGGCTTCCGGGTCTTCCGGGAGTCCCGTCGGAGATGCGGTGACGTCACAGACATCGACGTCACCGGACTCCTCCCCCTTCCCCTCGTTAGCCAATGGAGACACTTGGGGAAGGGGTCCGGTGACGTCCATGTCTGTGACGTCACCGGATCTGCGACGGGACTCCCGGAAGCCGGCAGAGAGGTGAGTATTTTCATTAGCGATCAAACATTTTTAATCGATCAAAAAGATTAACGATTAATCGAGAAATTAATTGTTAATTTCGCAGCCCTACTTTACAGTATACAAAACATGATATATCACAGTAAAACTGTTCATTTTATAAAAGCTGTAGGGAGCAGTTAAATAAAATCCCTGACACAGTAGGAAAATATTACCGCACTATAAAACTATTAAAGAACACCAAGACCTGGACAGGGAATAACAGATGGACTTTCTATATTAACAGACATTGCAACAAGGAATCGTCATTTATAAACTTAATTGTGTGTAATGACAGTTGGCTGAGGCTGAATCAATTTCATGTTATAAAAATCTGGTTTACAAATGGAATGACGGGTTTGCTCAGGTAGTAATGCTGTTAGAAAACAAAATCTGGCAATTACAGATAACTTTATACTATGGTAAAGTACTGAGTTAGTGTTAACTTCTGTGCTTGCTGGCATTACCATAGTTAAGGAAAATCTTGTGGCAAAGGACTTCAATTGAGGATCATGCTAGAATTAAGGGAATACATTTGTGAAGATTGTGTTATATAATTTGGCTTGAAGGACAATTCTAGACAGCTTGTTGCCTGATACGTTAGTAAGCATACTCTGTATCAGTTGATCATCTTTCTACGGAAGTGATATTCATCTAAAGTTATAAGTGCAAAGAGAGCATCCCACACACAGTGGCGTAACTATAGCCATAGCAGCCATGGCGGCTGATATGGGGCCTGGGGGTGAAAGTGGGCTCCATTAGGTTGTTGAAGCAAATTAAACATAGAACATGTGAAGATAATGCAGTACTCTACTGTTAAGGGTTGACTTCAGACGACTTAAAATGCACAAGAGGTGACTTTGGAATCTTTGCATCATTACTCACAGCTCAGAGAGAGGTCATCAGGGGGGCCCCATCACATTTCTGCTATGGGGTCCTGTGATCTGTAGTTACAGACCTGATCCCACAGATCGTTTGCTGCTTATCTCTATTACTGTTTTTTCTTCAGTAACCTCCAGCATTTCTCCAAGCCTCATGTAACTGGCTGGAGTAGAAGGAAATTCAAATAAAGTAGAAGTGGAAAGGAGCTATGACAAACGTATTTCTATCATCAACCACTTCTATCGACAAACACCTAATACTGCTCACAGCATTAAATGACTGCAAACTTAATATTTTTGGTTGAAAATATACCTCTAGTGAAAATAAAGCACACAAGATGACAATATGGGTAAAATTACGGTATCCAGAGGTGTCTGGACTATCTGAACATACCTTACTCAATGTTGCATAGCACACATAAGTCCCTGAATCTAGAACAGTCAGTGTGCAAATTTAATTCCTGTTCATAAGTCAAATCTTTGTCATGTCGTAAATACCACAAAATGTGAACCTATCAATTGGTTCAAGAGGATTTTAGAGATTGATCTAACCTATGGAGTAGGAGCTCCAAGTGGGAGCTGAGGTCAGTCAGTGGTAAACTGGGCCCTGGTCCCTGGTTCATGGAGATCTCCAGAACATTAAAGCTGAACTCAAGGAAGTTAAATATACTACTAAAATACAAATGGAGGCTGGTTTAGCTGCAACATTATTTGTACTTCTATACATCCAGCCCTGACATATTCACCACCCCATCAGACAAAAGAGCCAGGTTAGAGACCTGACTTCTCCCCTGCACTGTTTGGACAGTGAAGGCACAACAGCATCACAGTGATTAATCATCATGCTGATCTCTCCTCCTGTAAGAATGAAAGTTCCTTGCCAGTTCATATGCACTGCAGCACATCTAATTCGCCACTCATCCTGAGTGTTGCTGCATAGAGGAATACAAGAGGCTAATACAAGCAGAAATCAAGCACGTACACTAGTTACTTTTAAGAAAGATTGCAATAAATATATTTTCAATGAACACCACTGCATTAATTTGTGTATTTTTACTGGGAGCTCAGCTTTAAGAAAGCACACACACCAGTCAGTGCCTTTGTGTTGACATTGTTTATACTTTGTTTTTAGTATGGGTGTAATTTGTGTATTTACCAAGGTATGCCCCGTGGTTCTTGAGCTCATCTGGGAACTCCTTCAAGTAAGACTCCCTCCGAGGTATCACCTTCCCACTGCTAGTCTCTTTCAAAACGGCTCCACTCCAGTCATAGGCTCCAACTGCCCCCAGCAATATCCCATCCTAGAGGAGAAGATATCCATATGATATAATAGCACAGCAAAGAAAGATCATGGATTAGTGACACAAAACAATATTTTATATCTGTAATATATTACATCATCATCACAAAGATAGGTGTAAAGTCATATGGTATTTATTGCTGTGATGGAATAACGGGTACAGTATGTATATCCAAAACGTCCTATTTGATTTTGGATATAGTAGAAAAGAGTTCAAATCCTTGCAAGTTTTTTTGTGGCTTTTGTTTGCTGTCTGTGTTCTGCTGTAGAGATTTACTTCCTGTCTCAAAGACACAACAGGAAGTGAAATGAAATCTCTACAAAGTAAGTCAAATGACTCCTCTGATAGTTGACACCTAAACAGGACAGCTCTACAATATTACATTTCATATCAATTTCTGTCTCAGTGGTAATGGTCTACAGAGCAAAAAAGAGAGCAATAAAAACTTAACAAGTGTTCCAATACATCCCTAGTCTATCCAAAAGTTTAAAAAATATGTTTTGGCTATACATAAACTTTACATTTAGCTTGAGGTTTGAGTTAAGTGTTACATTCAGTTTAAGAGTTAGGTTAAGGCATTAGGTTTAGGTTAAAAGGCAAACGGGTCAGTAAGCTAATAATTCTATCCAGGGAGCTTTGCCACTCTACTAAAATTAGAAAGTCCACTGTATTGACCCCATTCTCTGTAAACCATTGCAGATAGGATCCAGACAGTATCTAAGAGAGTTACTATCTAAAGTTCTATGTTTCCTGTGTTACCAATCAAACTTAAACTTATGAATTAGCTTTGAATCTGATCTTGTGCTGTGAAAAACCTTAGTTTTAGTCTTCACGTACTGGATGCTGCTCCCATTAAAGTATATGGGCCATCTCAATCATACTTGGAATCTAAAGTTGATTTAAGTGGGGCTTTTGTAATAATAGACTACAGGGCTGTGCCGAGGAGTAGGCAGCCGACGGCACTTTAGCAGGAGGGCAGGACCCGCAACTTACGCTACTGAGGTAATTTACTCTCCACTGGGGGGTTGAGGGGGCACTTTGGTCTTTTTGCCTTGGATTCTAAAGGACCATGTCCCAGCACTAATGGACTGCAAAGCAATGTAGGTGTCGAAACACCACCCAAACTTCAAATTCCTGACTTTCAAGTCAAATCAGTTGAATGAATACTTTACAGGTGACTCTCAAACACTAAACATTGCCTGATAGAATAAAGGCCCATAAAGGCCTTCTGGCGTTGATTTATATCCAATTAACTACATCATGTTCTATGAAGAGGCCAGAACAGAAACGTTTAAGACATTTGCTATATGTAAAAAAGTGGAAAAGAACATGAAAACAACAGTGAAACTGAAGCCAATAACAACCATTAAGGTTTCATCTTTTCTCTTCTGGTAAATAAAACTTGGAATTTGATTGGAAAACAATTCTACTTTTGTTTCAATTTTCTTTTCAATTTTTTAAATTTATATAAATAGGCCTCCTATTGTTTATTGATGGATCCCAAGGGCAGAACTGTAGAACTAGATTATATTTTTTGGTGTTACCTGAATGTAAAGACCAGGCACCATAATGTATGTATTAGAAATCATACCACAATTTATAAAGAATAAAGATAAATAGTTGGGATGCACCGATACCAAGTACAGTACTCGGTACAAGTACATGTACCGATACTTTTCGAGCTCCAAGACTAGACTAGAGAGGCAGCTGTCATTTGTAAGGAGCACACGGAGCTCCTGGGATTTGTAAATCTCTGTTTTAATGTGTGATTTTGTTTTTTATAAATATAAATAAAGGGATGTACCTATACCAGTACAAGTACTGGTATATAGCGAGTACAAGTACTGATACTTGCCAAAGTACTTACAAGTACCAGTACTGATACATTTTTGTTTATTGTCATGTGACAGTTTTTCTAAAACAATATCAACTAATGATTTCAGGTAGTGGTGGAGCACCAGAGCCAAGTCCCAGCTGCAACTGCTGCAACCGCTGCAAACCTGGTAATTCTCATGAAAATGCTAAGTATCGGCACTGGTACTCGAAAAGTATTGGTGCATCCCTAATAAATAGAAAAAGCTTTTGAACAATCAACCAAAATGTCACTGCTTTTCTAGGAAACAACCACAAAATTCAAATATAAAAATAGTCAGATTACCCAAAGGTGTGGTCAAAACTAAGCAGCGAAAATAACAAAATAAACAAGGATCTTAATCTTTTTATTCTGTTGGATATTTTGAGAAATATAATTTATAATATAGCTTTTTTCCCAAACCACATGTAAGAAAGTCAAGGTAGTGTCTGCTTTCAGAGCTAAAGAACATTTAATCCTTTCACATTACAATGGAGGCCAGGAAAGGTTAAATGTCTCTGTGGTAGTGACCACTGTAGCCTAAAGGTTTTCTGGCTCCCAGATGTAGACAAACCATTTTGCAGGATCAATCAGTGGTTACTGAACCAACAGTGAGGCTGATTTGGGCATTTCTCCCAACCAACAACATAATATAGACGACCATGTAAATAATGCTTATCTCCTTCAGTTTACAGGATGCAAGTGATATCTGCCTAACTGGGGGTCTTGATTATAATATAATTGAGAATATTTGCCTTTTAGAATGTGCAACACATGTCGAAGAAAACAATGTCCACTGAGTTGTTAATTTAGCAACCCACTAGACCTGCTTGTACGTAAAGTGCATTTAACCCAAAATCTATTTTTGTATATGTTTGGCATTATGTTTCAGTGTATACAGTTTTCTTAGGTAAATCATTTTTTGTGACTCTGTTGCAAAGTTTCTTACCAGTATATCCTGCCATTAATAGCACTATTACCATATTACTGGATGACAAATCTAAGCCACTGTCTCGCAGTTAGTTGCATTATTGTCAGTGTGCCATGTCCACCCCTTAAGTTTGCTGTTTGGCTGCCTATCAGATAGAAAGCCCAACAGCCAACTGAAGGAGCTTGCACAGCAAGCCAACTAAGATGCTGCTAATTGGGAGGCAGTGGCTTAACATTGTCAGCCTGCAACATGAAGTGCTGTCAGGATTTAATGGTAAGTAACTTTGCAATGATTTCTTAAGAAAACTGTGTAGCAAGATTTTGATGCCTGATATGCTCAAAATTAAATATTTTATATTATGGAGAATGCAAATGAAGGCGCTGGAAAACACAAAGGGCCGGAAACGCTAGAAACAAATAGTTAAATGAGACAGAGTTGGAAATAATGGCAAGGAAATCTTGCAGTTGAAATATCCAGGACTCAACCAGAGCCCACCTAAAACAAAAATATAATTTTTGGATAAGCTGATCCACATAAGAGCATGAAATGTTTCACTTTAATAATGTGCAGGGTGTTCTAAAGTATATTAATGTGGCTAGATATGTCGGCTTCAATTATGAAAGTATCTTTTATAAAAAATGGGTTGCACTGCCTCTCAGCAGATTCCAAAACCGTTTTAGAATACTGGAAAAAGTTTGCAGTGAAGTAATATAGTTTGCTGTTGATTAATATTGTTTGCTGTGGAGTAATATAGACATTTGTAGACCTATTCATAAATGATACCCATATGATGTGATGTTTGCCAAGACCACATCTGGCTCAGTACTCACCTCTACCACATGGGATGAAAACCCAGCCTGGGACATCTCAAGCCCGAACGATGTCTCATTCTTATTGGTCCCTGCAATTAAAACACAAGTATATCTTCATTGACTGAACATTACATTTTGATGACTTCAACCTTTTTTTGTAAAATGCCTGTTGTTTACATTGCTCAAAAGCTCAGACTGAAATTTACAAACACAAGTGAAGTAATCCAATGAGTGTCTTCTTCATTCTTGCACTGTTTTCTCCAATATTTCAGTCACACAGAAAGTCTCAAAGCAACAGATTCTTCTGTGCTGTTCTTTTAGCTAACCCATGGTGCTCTTAAGCCCCTCAATGGAACAGTCCTACAATGCACCTTTTGTTACTCACAATGGACTTATTGTAAATTTATTTAAAAATCTATTTTTCAAATAGCTTGTATAAAGGAAACATAATGGTAAAAAAACAATACTGGGTTTAACCAATCACGTTTGGCATATAAATTCTTACTCGGTCTGCATAACG